TTGTGCAAAACTGGAAGATATAGACAATGTGTGGAAGGAGTGATTCTTGTTTGAAAAATAACATGTGACTCAATTGAGGAATGCGGAAAATTCCCCATCATGCACCCTAACCTTAACAGTAATATTTGATTTCAAATTGAAGGTGAATTAAATTTCAAAATCCAATTCTGCTCGATTATGTTGGCAACTTCCGGTCTATGTTTCGGTGAATTTTTCAATCAGTTTTTATTTTCCTAAGTTGAACTGAGAAAAATTTATATTTTAAAATTTATACACTAAAGTGCATAATGATGAACTCTCAAAAATAAAACCCACCGTAAATCATAGTTTTTTCAATTCACAATTTCATGTCATTGTTTCTTACAAGTCTCTTTCTTTCTTTTCATATTTTTTGTCAAGTCAAAATCAGAGTTCAAAACCTGTTTCTTTACAATCTATGCTTATGTTAGTTTTTAAACAACATGAAAAATGTGAAACCATACGTGCTACATTGATTTGATGTGAAATAATGATCATTGACCCGATTCCTGTGCTGTTAGGCTATGTTTGGATCTTTAATATAATTTTATTTTACCAGTCTTCTCTTTTTCTCATAATCAAACTTGATCCCCGATCTCTGTCGATGTGACATCACTCATTAATTATGCATGCATGCGCAGTACAATGAAGAAGGCAATATGGCGACTTACACAATTCTGAGCCTGAGTGGATATCTCCAAATTGAAATGAATATGTTTGTTTATGCATCTATCGACGACATATGTAACCAAACCAATCTTTTCAAGTTAACACCGAAATTAAAGGAGTGGTATCGATATGGAGAATTGAATTCAACAATGTTTTTCTCTTAAACCAATCATTGAAAACATTCTGTAAAAAACACGGTATTTTATGTAATGTTGACTGATTGACAACAATTTAATGCGAAAATTATTTAGAAAAATTTTATATAACTGTTTTTGTTAAATATATAAGCACTAATGCCAAAGGGAAAGGACCAAAAGTTGTAATGGAACTTAGCAAGAAAAAGCAAACTCTAAGTGCATACCAGTCAAGAAAAACAAACCCGTATAGCCCAAAACCATGATCTAACGTGTAAGGACACAATGTCTAATACCCCTTTCCCCCCACCATTCAAGAATCAATATCACAATCCAAGACCAGAAGACCAAGGGACATTTCATTTGATACTGAAGTCATTACAATATATGTTGAAGAAAAAATTAGAAATTGATAGCCAATTGATAGCCAATACTCATAACCTCAAAAATTGTTGTAGATATAAGTACTCATACAAGATAGAGCATTCAGTCTCAAATGATGTGGGATAGATAAAATCCAGTCTCCAAGTCCATAGGCATTTCAAAGGGTCAACATCTATTCACAAAAGCCGTTGCCATAATCCATAAAACACAATAATTCACAATGGTCATCAGGAGAAAACTATGGCTGGTTTCGATCCCTATTTCTCAACCATTAATGCCATAGCCGGGATCCACCTCAAAAGGTGCCAAGTGAAAATATTGTGAGTTCATTGCCAATGTCTTAAACAATTCCCACATCCTTCAGCATCTCAAGTGGTAAAACTTGAAACTTCGAAATTAATGATTTGTATTTTTCAGCAAAGCCCAGAAAGAATTTCTTAAGCTTTATAGAATTATAACCTTGACCTAACAGTTTGATCACTAAAGTATTGTGTCTTGACCTAAAATCTAAATATTTAGAGCATGCCCTGCCATATCTAATAAGCTGGGATACATAGACCCCATACGCTGGATTTAATGGAATATTACTATCTAAATGGGGAAAATTCACAATATCAAAGTTGAAATCATCTCGTTTATCATCCAACTTACAATATATACTGTTGTCTTGTTCAATGTTAATGAGAAGGTCAGGATAAGGCGCATTCATGTTCGATTCATTGGTCTTTTTTAACTCTAACTCGGAAGGGTATATCTCATTTACAAAATTTTCAAATCCAGGGTTGTCCAAACTCAACAGGTCATCTATATACCTATCTGTTTTATTAAAAAGTTTAGCTATGTGGAATTTTGTCTTATCTTTCTTCATCTTTTGCAAAAACTTATATTCATACGAGAATTTTTTATTTTATGTCTAACAACAAAACAATCAATTAGAAACAAGAAAATATGAATATATTTAATTCTGCATACAAATATATACAATCAACTATTAATTGGCTTTATTCCCTATGGCTCAAAAGAATGTTCATTGAAAACTGATAGCGAAGTCACCGTTGTGACGCAATTGCGTATATGCATAAGTCATTAAGTGGTATTAACTTAGGAGACAATCGGTGCTAGAGTTGAGACCATGGGCGGGGTCCTCCAGCCAGCTCTGCGGAACTGTGGCCCTGCGGGACCGTGATTGTCGGGAAACAGCCCAAGTAAACCTAATTCACTTTCAAACAATCAAGACGGTAAACCGTAGAGTGTACCTGTCTTATCAGCTAGATAAGTCGCGTTGCGAACATGATTGTTTGAAATTGGAGACAATTATGTACAGAGAAAGCGATGTATATTTACATAATTGAATACTATGAACTGGTTTATCTTGGAGCAGCTGCACTATCATTAAAATGTAATGAATTGCAGTTGGGGAAGAATGAGTTGAAACGAATAATTGCCAAACCATGTGCGAAGCAGATATTTCACTGGGAAAAGTGAAATGAGTGAAGCATATATATAAATAACATTTTTTATTTTTTAGTGCAATTGTTTTTGCTCCTTTCTACCAATTATTGATAATGAAATAAAATGTCTTTCCGAACCTTGGTTGAACAAAATAGCATATACAACATGTTTTTAGACCTCTCAATATTATAGTTATACAAAGGAATTTTTGGTTGAATTTAAAAAAGTATTCAAAAAATTAAAACAAAAAAAAAGATTTTGATAAAAATCAAGGTAAACCTTTTATTTCATTAACAAGATACTTTTTTAAAATCAACCAAAATTTCCTTTGTACAATTACAATATTGAGAGACCTAAACATGTTGTGTTTAAGTCGTTTTGTTCCAATGAGGTTCGGAAAGATGTTTATTTCACCCTGCGTGGAAGCATGATATGAAGAACAAAACAAGTGTTTGATGAGTTTTCTAAAACAATATAGATGAAAGTATACATATATTTTTCAAATAATATTGTTACCATTCAAAAGATGACCATTAAATTGACGATGTGTTAAATTTTTAGATTTTTTTTATGACTGGTTTAAGAGAAACATGTGTTCAAACATATGTCAAAAGGTTCTCCATATCGATACCACTCCTTTGTCTAGAGTTTTGAACATGTGCTGCAAATGTTGACGGACGGACCAACGGACATCATTTGTTGTTGCTGCATTAGTTTCTTCATTCATCGTCTTCTTTCTTTGTCTTGATTGTGATGTTAGTTATCTTTCTTCAGGGTCCACAGACTTGAGACTGCGCGTAGGTGGGTTTAACGTTTTGATCAGATGGATGCCTGGTCGATCCCATAGGCTCACTGTGTGAGCCAAAAATGCAGTTTTCATTTATTACCACACTGTTTAATAAAGTTGTTACTTTGAAGTATCTTAATGAAGTAACCTTTACACAACTTTCAAAAACTTACTTTTTTGTATCAAATGTACAGCTTTCAGTTTTATATTTCTTGCAATTCTAAAGGGTACTTCAAAGTTGAAGCAGTAGAGATAATTTTTGAAAAACAACAATTCAATGATTCAAAATGTGTTCACGTTTGATAGATTTCACTGTAGTACTATGCACAAATATATATGTAGGTCAAGGATCCCTAGACAGTATACTTTCAACGGTTAAAGCATTTGGATTGAGTTTTCAAAATCATGGGACATTTAAAAGTGTTCATGCTTTGTAGCATGATGATGGTTGTTTTTCCGATGACTTGTCATGGAAGTAAAATATTAATGTTTCCTATTGATACAGGTTACAATAGCAGGATTATGAGCATGTTTAAACTCGGCAGAATGCTCATTAAAGCCAACCACCAGATCACATTTGTTGTTTCCGACAGAATGAAAGAGGATGCTTTGTTCAAATTGGCAGAGAGAGGAAGTTTGAATTCAAACCTTAATGTAATCAGCTATAGAACTCCACCGGTGGATCCAGCAGTAATGCACATGAGTACTGAAAACCAGGACTTTGTTGATGTAATGATCGTTAAGGACTTTCCCCAAGCTTTGAATCATTTTGGTAAAGTATTTATTATTGCACTGAATAGCACACTTTGGGATAAAACTGTCATTGACCAATTGAATGCACAAGAGTTTGACCTTATTATTGCGGATGAATTTTCACTGTACCCAAGAATCATTGCTGCAGAAAGACACATTCCGATCATTTTATATTCCAATTGGGGCCCCATGTCTACTGATTCTGATATCATTCCGAGGTACAGCCTGGCATATGTAAATGCAAATTTCAATAGATTCAGTGATGTTATGACATTTCTACAAAGGCTGGAAAATGTATGGGACTATCTAAGAGTCCAATGGGAAATGTCTGGTATCTACACATTAGCAGAAACTGTTTGCCAAGAACATGGTTACGGGAAATCATGTGACAATATCAGGGGGATCCACAAGACTGTTAACCTTGTGCTCATGAACAGAAATGATGTTACTTATTACCCTGCACCCTATATGCCACATATTATTTCCTCAGAAGGGTTCTTCCTTGATAAACCAAAACCTTTAGATAAATATTACACAGATGTTATAAAAAGGTCAGGAAGAGATGGTATAATCGTGGCAAGCTTTGGGTCATTGTTCCGGAGATTAGGACTGAAATATCGCACCATTTTTGCTGAAGCATTTTCTAAAATGCCGCAAACGGTAATATGGAGCTACGAAGGTGAAACACCAGAAGGTCTTGGAGATAACACAATTGTTTCAAAATGGATTCCTCAAACTGATCTACTGGCAAATCCTGCAGTTAAACTGCTCATAACACACTGCGGGGCTTCTTCATTATTTGAGGCATTAAACAGTGGTCTTCCTGTTGTTGGGATTCCCTTTATTGTGGACCAGGAGTACAATTGTCTTAAACTTGCGGACAGAGTCAAATCAGCCAAGTTTGTCAAGTTGAAAACTATTACGAGTGAACAACTACAAAGTGTAATGGAAGAGGCTATAAATGATAAAACATACAGAGCAAATGCAATGAAAGCCACATCAATATATCATGACCAACCCATTGATCCAAGAAATAAAACATTGTTTTGGATTGAGTATGTCATTCGCCATAAAGGAGCAGCACACTTGAGATCAGCTGGGGAAAATCAGCTGAACTTTTTTCAATATTATCTTCTCGACATAGCTGGATTAGTTGCAGTCATTTTGTTTACTGCTTTGATAAGTTTGACTGTGATCCTGAAAGCAGTAATTAATTGCTTGCTAAAAATTTTAAAACATAAAAAGGACTAATTCACATTTTAAAGACAATATGTAATACTTCACATCATGATGTCATTATTACTTTTAGAGGTACTGTACTCCAACTGATATCCGATGGCATTATATTTCCTGTTTCAAAGCTATTATATTTAACTAATTTTCAGTTTTTAATTTACAACTATTGGAATTTTGTGGCTATTATATTTTGCTTATCCAAACCTTGAAAACAGTGCAATATATAGTTGTACGCAAAAATTACTATAAGTACAAAATATTCAAGAACACAAATGTGTACAAAATGTCCCCACCAAGTGGTGATCCCGTCAAATGGTTATCCTGAAAATGAGTAGACAAGACTTTACCAACACAATTTGAGGACGGAAAATCCAAAGTGGCCACCTTAAAATTTACCCAGAATGCCAAAAATTTAGTCAGTTCTAGATTTTCATACTAAGAACCACCCCTGAAAATTTGAAATTGATCCGTCACACAGTTAACCAGAAAACCACCTTAAAATTTACCCAGAATGCCAAAAATTTAGTCAGTTCTAGATTTTCATACTAGGAACCACCCTGAAAATTTGAAATTGATCCGTCACACAGTTAACCAGAAAACATGTAAACAAGACTTTACGATTTCAGGATGGAAAATCCAAAATGGCTGCCTTGACATTTACCCAGAATGTCAAAGAACTAATCTGTTTGTAGATTTTCATACTAAGAATCATCCCTGAAAATATGAAATTGATCTACCAAACGGTACGGGAAGACAAGACTTTACAGACAAGATTTTAGGACGGAAAATCCAAAATGGCTGCCTTGACATTTACCCAGAATGCCAAAAAACTAATGAGATCTAGATTTTAATACTAAGAATCGTCCCTGAAAATTTGAAATTGATCCACCAAACGGTTCACCTGAAAACGCGCAGACAAGACTTCACAGACAAGATTTTAGGACCGAAAAATCCAAAATGGCCGACAATAAAAAAGTCCTTATGAGTTTTTGCTGATTTCTTTTTACAAAATTATCACATATAACTACTGTTAACAATAAAGTAGGCTTTAACAACAAAGTACATCTGAAATTATTTATAAAGCTACTAAATAGTTAAAGTATGAAAACTCAAAAACACCATTCAATATGATATAAAGTATTATCGCGCCCTAACTTTTCTTAAGACATTCAAAATGGCTGACATGACTGAGCTAGCAGGTCCAAAACCTAATCAGATCTAGAATGAAGTGAGCTGAACAAGATGTTAAAGTTTTAAAAGTAACTGTGAAGCAGTTTTTCTTAAAGTTTGCAGACAAGGATTTTAGCATTTGACTTCAAAATGGCCGACAGGAAGTAGGTTTCGAGTTAAATTTTTTTCATCCACATCTATAGGCACTCTTAAGTTATCCCTGAAAATTTGAAGGTGATATCTGTAGCAGTTTTGGAGAAATCTTCCGGACGTACGGACGGACAGACGGACCGACAGACGGACGGACGGACGGACAGAAAGTCGGACGCGCCTAGGCCGACAATATGGCCCCACACTATGTGGGGACATAATAATAAAATGATAAAATAACCATCACTTATCAAAATGGTTGCCCTATTTTTCAAAATATGATCTTAGACTAATCAGCATAATTATAAGATAATTAATAAAACCATTTAGTCAATACTAAAATGGTCTAGAAATGATATATTGGACATTTACAAAAGTACAGAAATTGATAACTTGAGGTCCATCCTTGTACCGTCCATAGTAATGAATGTTCTCAATTCACATATTTACAGGGTGTCCCAAAAAATTGTACAAAGACAAACATGGTGATAGGCTAGAGGGAACTTGGACAAAAGGCCCTTAAATCAAAAGTTTATTGTACACTCTCCACAACGCCATGTGTTTGATACCAAATGAAAGCTAAGGACCCATGCTTTCATGATTCACTTGTCCTAATATCAAATTGTGGTATAGATTTTGTCTAAAACGCCTGTTTCCATAGTAACCACAAAAATATGATTTTAATAAGCAGAAAATGTGTTTTACACATAACTCTAAAAGTATAACTTCGATTTTCACGAAATTGGTATCATATTGAAGCAAATAAAAAGCTTTATTTCTATAAATTATATTTATGCAAATTAGATCATTTGCATATTGATTGTGACATCATAACTGTATAATTTTGTGTATTTTTAGATAAATGAGTATATTCAGTTTCCGTACAGTAATATACAGTCAGGACATATGAATTAATTTGGTATCGTTGGAATGCTTATCGTGCCTACTTTTGAGATCCACTTGTTATCAATTACGAAACATAGGCAGAGTATGTCTAAAATATCCGTTTCCATCATAGTAACTGAAAAATATTGTCGTAAAATATGCACAATTGAATAAACACACGGAGCTCATGTGTCACAGAAGATGTTTTTACCCATAACTCTACATACTGTATATCACTTCAATTTTGACAAAATTGCTATCGTATTGAAGATAATGATGAAAGACTATATTTGAAATTTTTGCTTTAGCACATTTTGTTTTAGCACCATTACTCTTCTTCCATTTTCTACAATAGCAAATATACAATTACTCCGTGAGTGGTGAAGGGGAGTTCTTGAGATCTAGTCATGAGATAGACAACTTAGACAACAAGTTTTACATGGTAATTTTATTTAGTGTCAGAGAAAAATTTGTTTCAGCACCATCAGCCATTTTCCATGTTTGGATTTGCATTCAGCTCTGCATCAATCATAATGGAAGTCATTTAGAAATTGTTATCTACAATGTCAAATTTCTATGAATTTTAACTGCTAATTAGAAAAGGATATTTCCACACTTAGCAGGAGTAACCACTTGGACATGCGACATCAACCTTGGGGAAGATTTCTGTGGCTCCAAGTGTTTTCTTTATTCAATGTGTTATGCTGTGTACTATACATGATATTTCTCAGATCTTAAACAGATTGAACACTGTGTGTGATCAACAGAATGTCAATTAACTGAAAAACCTCAAATAGTGAAGACAGGTTTGTTGTCAAAATGACAATTTCTTCCTTGTTAAAGCTTGTACATACCGTAACGTTTTTGCATAAAATATTTTCACACTTAGGTTTAACTGGAGATTTTTACACCTATTTTTCAATGGATATATTCGTTCATATTCCTGTATGAGAGTACACAAATGATCAGAAATGATTGATCTCCTATTCCTCTTAACATAACAGATATTTGTATCATTGTTTTGATTCATAGCATTGGGAAAACGATGAATGAAAAGTGAGAAAATATTCTAAAAGAAAAGGTCACATGATCAGTTGACTAGTCGCCATATAGGAAAAAATAATTTAATTAGACTTTCAAGACTTTCACTCCAATCTTACCACACTACAAACTGTAAATTGCATTATAGAGTTACATTGAAAACGCACAAACAACTGACCAAAGAAGATGCGTCGCTATTATCTAGGTCAATCTATCGTACTCGTTTCTGAATTTTATTATTCATCATACAAGCTTTTCTTGATTATACTCTGTATACAGATCATTAAAGCAATAACAAAGAACAATACTTCTGATGGTGTCATTGTTTTATTTTACGTGCGAGTGTAAAAACAAAATTGTATAATTGGTTTGATTTAGAACTTTCAGGTCACTCAAATAGCTACGCGAAATGTATCATTGGAAAATATTGACCAATCAATTTTTGCGTTTTTGAGGGCTTCTTAAGAACATATTTTCGTACCATCTAGATTAAAGAGCGAGCCATAAAAGGCTTAATTCTGTAGTTTTTGAACCACCCTAATATGAGCTCATTTTCATATCACTTAATTTACCCAACAAGATGGGGCTTAAAGCCATATAATGTGCCTAGATCCATCCCACTGATCAGAGCCTCCTCCCCCAGATCACCCAATGCCAACTTCAGCAATGACCACATATGGGGAGAACAAACAGAATTGATGTAACACGAGCCTTTTACAACACTTGATGAAAATGCATATGGTGGACATATTAAAATTCTGTTTATGTAAATTGAGTTGACAAAAAAATTAGTTTTGTGAGTTTTGGAAAACCTATTTTGAAATGAAAATGATGTTATTCGTATTATGGTCGCTGGTTGACAGACATTATGATAAATTTGAATTTATGATATACCAAATTGAAGATAATCAAATTTCCTTTCAATAAGTATATTATATGACATGTTTTCATAAATAAAATCAATATTTATATTTGAAATATGAGCAGTGTTCTCCCTAATTTTTCAAAAGTGAGTGGTGAAAAAGTTTGAATAAAAATTGATGGGTGGTGGCAAAATTATTAGGGCGGTGATAAGTTTACAAAAACATGCTTAAAAAATCGGCGCCGCTTCGCTGCGTTACTTAATCACAATCATTTGCATCAACAGCCAATTGTTATAAATATGCTAAACATTTGTTTTGATGTTATGTAATTACATAACATCAAAACAAATGAAATTTAGCACTGTATGATCATCTACTTTAATGACAATAGGCCATGTTGCAATATAAATGCTCAGAGGTTTGTTTTAATTCAATGTTCAATTTAATATTTATTTCCATAATATAATATAAAGTTCAATATACAAAATAATTCAGTATGTGGCCACATATTTCAACTATATTTCAATATATAATTCAACTATAATTATTGAGTCTGAAATTCCCGGGAAAATGTGCACACTTGTTCATTTTCGTTCAGTGTACTCTTCAAAATCGGAGGCTGTGAGTCCTGACCCAGAAAAAACATGTTTCATTTCTGTGCAAATCAAACTGTTTTTTATCAAAATAGAAGGTAAATTGAAGATTCTTTAGTGCAAGAAAGGTAAGTACAGACATTTCTTTATCTACATAGAGCATTTTGTATCGTTTTCAAGCAAAACGGGCTGAGATTTTGATGTGATTAAAACTTTGATTTTTTTCAATTTCTATTTTCACTTTGGGAAATTTTTCTGTCAAAGTCTAATGCGTGGCGCTGTTAATAAATGTGTGGCGCGCAATAAATCAGCGTGGCGCAGCCACAATGTGCGTGGCGCAAGCGCCACGCATTTTTCAGTCAGGGAGAACACAGATGAGTTATATCCAGCAATCGTAATGTTAAATCGGACATCACCTTATCTCCTAACTGGTACTATTACTGAGATTTCATATCAACACTTTAGTCTACTAAATTAATGTTTAAAACTCATATATGTGAGCGTTAATGCAGGGGCATTTCATACAGCCTATAAACACTGCCCTTTCATCAAATGTCTTTTCTGGTTTCCTTAATTTCGCCAATTTCTTAAGAAATTGATGGATAATTTCAAGATTATATGATCAGACACATAAACATGGCATATACCACATACGTTTCTCATATTTAGTTGTTGTTTTTTAGTTGTTGTTTTTTTGTTGAACCATATATTACGTACATGGATAATTGTATTTTATTTACAAGTAGGCTGCATCTTGTATTAGACCAACATAGCATCAAGTTTCACTAGAGCTGCTTAGAACACTTCTTATCAGATGTGTTGACAGCTCTCCTGATAAAGAAAGTGTCTGGTAATTTCTGGATTTGGTCCCATTTTTTGAACCACCCTGTATTTACATATAAAACAAGGCATGACATGACAAAATGTCACCACCTAGTTGCTCACAATATTATGAGTTCAATCTTAACCTGATGAAATTTGAGCAAACTGATGTTTCCATATTTTCAGAAAGATCTGGTCTAGTTTCTAGTTTTTTTTATATGTAAATTATTTAACAACATCTTAAACAGTGAACTTGATAGTGAATTTCATATTTAAACCTACACAAACTCCCAATGTACTATACACTATAGCGTGGTAACCGTAAGGTACAACACAAGGATCTGAATTTGCGTTTTACCGTATCTCAGGTAAATGTACCAAAGCGTTATATATAAGTTTCATTCAACTGTCACACTTAATTTGGTACACACTCAGTGGTGAAGTTCAATAGATTAGAAAGAAAATTGTAATTGAACTGTGTGTGAATATGAAACTAATATACAATTCTATTTTGGTTCAGCCTTCGTAGTAGTTTACAACAAAGAACTTTTAGATTTGGCGCCAAAATAACTTAGCATTTACATGGTAACATGGTACACCATGGTCAGATGACTTCAAAAATGCTGCGAAAATAACAACATTCCAGAAATCAACATTTTCGTCTTAATAAATCATTAATTGTGGGGCAATAGCACTAACTTTGTAAGTCAAAATAACAAAAAGTTGTTATTTGTGCTAAGTAAATAAGATTTCAATGACTCAAGTGTGTTCATATTAGATGAATATCACTGTACCTCCATCCCGATTAAACTATAACTAGTAAGGGACCTCTTAACTGTGCACTCTGAAAAACTTATCTTAAATGTGAGACCGAGTTTTCAAAATCATGGGACATTCAAAAGTGCTCATGCTTTGTTGCATGATGATGGTTGTTTTTCCAGTGACTTGTCATGGAAGTAAAATATTAATGTATCCTGTTGATGCAGGCTACAATAGCAGACTTATGAACATGTTTAAACTCGGCAGAATGCTCATTAAGGCCAACCACCAGATCACATTTGTTGTTTCCGAGAGAATGAAAGAAGATGCTTTGTTTAAATTGGCAGAGGGAGGAAAAGTGGATTCAAACCTCAATGTAATCAGCTATATTACTCCACCAGTGGATCCGACACTAATGCACTTGAGTACTGAGAACCAGGACTTTCTTGATGCATTGATCGTTAAGGACTTTGCACAGTCTCTCAATTTATATGCTCCAGCATCAAGAATGGCTTTAAAGAGCAACCTTGAGGATGAAACTGTCATTGGCCATTTATATGCAAAACAGTTTGACCTTATTATCGCGGATGAATTTGTGCTTTGCCCAAGAATCATTGCTGCAGATAGAAACATTCCGATCATTTTGTATTCCAACTGGGGCCCAATGTCTATTGATTCTGATATCATTCCAAGGTACAGCCTAGCATATGTTAATGCAAATTTCAATAGATTCAGTGATGTTATGACATTTCTACAAAGACTTGAAAATAGTGCTTGCAACGGTAATGGATCTCACTGCCGGTAAATTTCACCTCCATTACCTTACCGTTACCGATAATCGTTGATACTGATAATGTTCCTAAAATCCCGGGGAAAAATCTGAAAGTGAAACTAAAATATTTGGAAAAATCCTTAACGAAGCCGATTTCTCAGCTTGATTTCCCGCTCACATCAACTACAGTGGATATATTGTATCATCGTGTATCTCGTGTGTGATTGTGTATTGTTAGGAAGTCTTTGAATGATAATATAGAGTGAATTCGATCAAAATTGATCAAATTATTTGTGTTTGTTTTTACTTCACCGAAATATCACGTCACGTGATTTGTTAATCTCGCGGCATGGGAGATGATTGACAGAAGTGGGCGGGGTTTTGCTTATCCTCCCGCCTTTTACGAATGATTTGCAGTTGATTGACAGATTAGCTCTTCAAATGTGGAGATTGAAATATACATGATTGATAAAATATTCTTAAACGAACATTGTTTCGTAAATTTGACAATGGATCGCAATGCCAATCATGTTGCAGCAGCATGGCGATTATCGGCAATGGATTTTATTACCGGCAATTGAGAGTATCTACTGCCGCTGCCGACAATCCGGCATTACCGTAAGGCACTACTTGAAAATGTATGGGATTATCTAAGAATCCGATGGGAAATCTCTGGTATCTACACATTAGCAGAAGCTGTTTGCCAAGAACATGGTTACGGGAAGTCTTGTGACAATATCAGGGGGATCCACAAGACTGTTAACCTTGTGCTCATGAACAGAAATGATGTTACTTATTACCCTGCACCCTATATGCCACATATTATTTCCTCAGAAGGGTTCTTCCTTGATAAACCAAAACCTTTAGATAAATATTACACAGATGTCATAAAAAGGTCAGGAAGAGATGGTATCATCGTGGCTAGCTTTGGGTCATTGTTCCGGAGATTAGCGCCGAGATATAGTACCATTTTTGCTGAAGCATTTTCTAAAATGCCGCAAACTGTAATATGGAGCTACGAAGGTGAAACACCAGAAGGTCTTGGAGATAACACAATTGTTTCAAAATGGATTCCTCAAACTGATCTACTGGCAAATCCTGCAGTTAAACTGTTCATAACACAGTGCGGTGTTTCTTCATTATTTGAGGCATTAAACTATGGTCTCCCTGTTGTTGGGATTCCCTTTATTGGGGACCAGGAGTACAATTGTCTTAAACTTGCGGACAGAGTCAAATCAGCCAAGTTTGTCAAGTTGAAAACTATTACGAGTGGACAACTACAAAGTGTAATGGAAGAGGCTATAAATGATAAAACATACAGAGCAAATGCAATGAAAGCCACATCAATATATCATGACCAACCCATTGATCCAAGATATAAAACATTGTTTTGGATTGAGTATGTCATTCGCCATAAAGGAGCAGCACACTTGAGATCAGCTGGGGAAAATCAGCTGAACTTTTTTCAATATTATCTTCTCGACATAGCTGGATTAGTTGCAGTCATTTTGTTTACTGCTTTGATAAGTTTGACTGTGATCCTGAAAGCAGTGATTAATTGCTTGCTAAAAACTTTAAAACATAAAAAGGACTAATTCACATTTTAAAGACAACTCCAGTTATTATCGATGATAAACTAAAATGGAATGAACATATTGCTCATGTATCTTCCAAAATATCACAAGTAGTTGGAATTTGTAACAAGGTCAAAAATAAGATAAATCATACTGCAATGATATCTATTTATTACTCTCTCATATATAGCCATATAAATTATTGTATTCTTATCTGGCAAACAGCAACTAAAGCTTTATTGTTTCAAATTCTGAATGTACAAAAAAGATTCTTTAGACTGATTACAAACAGTGCTAGAACAGACGATTCCTCTCAACAATTTAAGAAAATAAAGATACTTTGATTAGAAGATATTCACAAGCTAAATGTTGGTATTTTTGTATTTAATTGTTACAAACGACCAAAAGAATTTCCTCACTACTTCATATCAAATGCCCAAACTCAGGGACAAGGGACACGTTACAGATTCAATCTTAGATCTAATCAATTTACATCCACATTTGAAAAAAGTTCGCAGCTTTGAGCGCAGCTAATATATATTTTGCTTATCCAAACTTTGGAAACAGAGCAAAATATAGTTGCATGCAAAAACTACCAGGAGTACAGTATATCATAAAATGATACATATAAAAAATAATAAAAATAACCATCACTTATGAAAGCCCAAGTTAAAAAATAAATCAAATATACCACTTATACATCACCAATAGATCACCAAAAAGTGATTTAGTCAAGTGGTTTGTAAGTTATATATTAAAACTGGCAATACTCACCTAATACACCACTGTAAGGGATTTTTAGGTTGAGTGGTTTGTAAGTTGAGTATGAACTTGATTTTTTCTGGAATGGTCTATTACAGTGCTGGTATATATTAATTGATCAGTCGTTTAATTGGCATATTTTCTTGAATTTTAACATTTAATGTCCCAAACTCCCACAAACTGCAGAAAAGTATACCCCATAAATCATATTTACCAAAATGAGTGTCTCCAAGGCTTCACACCAGCGTATGCATAATGCATTTTTCACGAGTTTGAGCTGAAATTTCGCCAAAATGAAGTAGGCTAAGGGTAGTCTCTGCCAGGTTTGTTTATTGTGGTAAGCTTGTAAGTGCTCGGAAGCAAATAATTCACGTGCGCAAAATAATCAAATAATCTAATTGGTCTAAACTTTGCTGCACATGCGCACAATGTGTGCCATGTTTTTTCTAGTGATTTCGTTTCGTTTCATGGAGTTTGCGTTTCAGTGTAACTTCCGCAAAAATGGCCGACCATGGACAGAATTAACAGGTAAAATCACTTCGAAATTTCAAGAGAACTTTTTACCTATAATTGCAAAACTTTTGTTTTATTTGTGCATTCTATCTATCAGATAAGAGTTTCAGGGGTATGTATAGGCAAATTCATTTTGGTAGGAACACTTTTTTTAGTTTGAAAACGCACCCTATATTATTATATATCAGCACTGTAGTAGTGTATTAAAACTGATCCTTGATTTAGAATGAGAAACCACTTTTTTAAATGGCGTAAATAGTAAAACTGAGAGGGAATTAATTCTACATTTGAAATGTAGCATTACAACCAGATGGGTGACAGGACTTTATTGAATCTTGCTCAACATAATCATAAAGGTATATAGAAGATGTGCATTTTGAATTTTATTCATATCTCTCACTGAATTTAGCACCATAGAGATTTTCAACATTATGTATAAAATTCTGAGATTTCAGGAGTGATTTTATAGTAGTCTATTAGATTAGTAGTGGTGTATTAGCGGTATATAAGATTTCAGGGAGTGATGTATCAATGGTCTATTAGTAATATTTGAGACTTCAGGAGTGATTTATAGGTGGTGTATTAGTGATGTATTAGTAGTGTATTACATGCTCTCTGATTGGTCAATAAGTTTTATCTTATTTGCATGGTAATTTTTTCAACTAACAAACCACCTAAGTCAATGGCAAAAAGTGGTCTGTTAACGAAAATCACCACTAACAAAGCATTATAGAACATATTCTACTAGTTGAGTATTAGTAGTCTATTAGTGGTCTATAAGAGTGGTATGGCGAGCTGTTTTTTCACTTGAGAGTGGTTGCCATATTTTTCAAAACATGATCTAAGACTTATTGACATCATAAAAAAGATTATTTATAAAACCACTTTAGTCAATACCAAAATGGTCTAGAAAGGATATACTAGATATAGTATATTAAAAACTGTTGAGATAACAAAACTTGTATTTGTAATCATATTCATATGGGACATTTACAAAAGTACAGAAGTTGATAACCTGAGGTCCATTCACATATACAGGGCGTTTCATAATGTATGCACCCCCCTCTAAACTTCTTCATGTAGTATTGCCAACCTATCACGTTATATATCATTTTGTTCCTAATGGAAATTTACATAGCACTGGTGATCCACTCGATTACACTGGTTACCAAAACGGTTCATTTTGGTAATAAAATGTCGGAACATCGAAGGTACGATTTTTCTTTTTTCCTTATTTCACGTGTTGTAGGTAGAATCCCCATGACATTTTTGACGGTTTAGATTAGAAGTGCAGATCTTAGCTGTTTTTCGAAAAAACGTTTATGTAACTTAAGTGAGGAATTAAATCAACGATTCTGTTGTCTTCTGAACTATTTGTTCACACATATGTACATTTTCTTAAACATATGATACTGATATACGTTTGTGTTAAAAAATTTCGTGGAAATTCTGCCTACAACGTGTGAAATAAGGAAAAGCGAAAAATCGTACCTTCGACGTTCCGACATTTTGTTACCAAAACGAACCATTTCGGTAACCAGCGTAATCGAGTGGATCACCAGTGCATAGGATGGTTTCAGAATCAAGAGGTGTCCCTGGAACATACAATCCATCAAAATATGTGGGTAGGGGGTCATTTATAAGCAGTTATGAAAGGATTTTTAAGCCAGTCCGGTGATCTGTTCACTCTGTCTGCTACCCATTTTTAGTAATAAAGGTGGTACCATGGGCCTGGACCTTCCTTCAAGCCACTGGATGAATCCTGTCTATATATCTTTGTACATAACTGCCACAGACATGTGAACTGAGCTCTGTAATGGTGACAATAGCTAGATATGTGCAATACGGAAACTAAATTTGTCCTCAAAATCACCAGAAATTGCCATCTAAAAGACCTGTACCCACAATATTTGTTACATTGTATCTTTTATTAGTGACACCCCTTGATTCTGAAACTTTGAAATTTTATGACACTTTCCATAAGGAACAAAATGATGTATAACATGACAGATTGGCAATGCTACATGTATGAGTTAAGAGGGTGTGCATTAGTGGTGCAACTCGCAAGAAAAATGCTACTCGAGTGGAAAGTGTGAAAATGCCACTGTAATCGAGTACCACTCGCAAAAATGAGGGAAAAATTTAAAAAAATAAAAAACTCACCTAGTTGACTGTTTGAAGACCAAATAGATACAATTTCTTTGTTTCTTTTATATTTTATTGATGTTATATATAGTTTTTATCAATTTAGTGAGAATAAATGTAGTTATTCATGCCATAATTGTGTTTGTTTGTTTTTAAATATTTTCATTTTGTTTCCGGAATCGATACTTTGTTTCGTTCAGTGCATCCAAAAATGATCAGTCCCGGGGTATGAGATCGTTGTTTGGGAATTCAATGCCTACTCGAGTTTGAAAAAACGTACTCGAGTAACTATCTTGGACAGGTTCAACGAGTGAGTGGCGAGTACTGGCATTCGAGTTGCACCACTAGTGTGCATACATATAAAACATCCTGTTTAGGGTCACTGTTGAAAGACAATATTTGTTTTATTTGTTTTAGCACCATTTGTTTTAGTACTCTTCTTCCATTTTCTACTATGACAAACATGGAATGATTTTATAATGCAAAATAATTTGTCCGCTGTGATGGAGCAGTTTCAAAGTTCACATTTGCAATTTTTACAGATGTCAACTGCTGGATGCCAACAGCCAACCAGCAATGGCCGTCACAAAAAATTGGAAACCATAACAATATGTTAATAATAATTACTGCTTTGATCCTGAAAGCAGTAATTAATTGCTTGCTAAAAATTTTAATTCATAAAAAAGTCTCATTCACATTTTGAAGACTATGTTAAGCTTCATGTCATGCTATCATTCTTACAGCAAAACACATGTATTAAGATAGCACCGAAGATAAATACCAAATCAAACATGTGGGCACTTGATTTCAAATTGAACTTTTACACTTTTGACTTTATTTAGTTGATAACAAGGTTCATATATGTAAGCTGTCAGGACAAATAGTACCATGGGTACTGGGCTCACATGGTGTTGCTTAAAAGTGAATGATGGCAGAGTGTAGTTTAACTAGAATCTGCATGCAGGGTAATAGGTTTTACTCAAATATGACCTTATCGGTTTCATTAGTTTCAATAGAATCTAGAATGAGTGACCTGACAATGGGTGAATTGTTGGTTATGTAATTACATGCAGTTATTTGAAATAGGTTGTTCAAATTTGGCTGGACTCAGACACACCTTACCTAACTATGTGTGAATAATCTATCACATATATTTAATAAAATTGGATGTGTCATGCTTGTATGTATTTACATTTGAAATAAGGATAGGATGTGCCATAGGGATGGGATGTAGCATGCATCACAGAACAGAATGAAGCAGTTAACTGGCCTTTGGTTTTGGATATTTTCCAAATGGAATGGAATAATTATTATGTCTACATATACAAATCATAAATTTTACTATTATAAGCATGCAAACAATAACTTATAAAATATACCAAAGATATACAGCTTATACAGCTTCAGCTTATTTATTGTTTATGATCTTGTTTATTAGTCATATAAATCCGACCGTTGTATGCTGTTATTCGATGTTCCTTGTTCTTATTTGGATATTTATTTTTTATCATTTTCTCGGCATATACGGTCGTAGATATAGTATGGAACAAATTGCGGGAAACGCTTTCCTGGCCTGTATGGGTATCCATACAAGAAGCATGCTTATATTTCTTCAATTACCAAGCGTTTTACGTGCATAAGGTTAGATTAAATACTTTATACTTGAAGCAAAGAAATGAATTAAATGCTTTTCTATATCTCGGCAAACTTTGGTGTAATTATAACGGCAGAATTGTCAAGGTGTCTCGAATAGTTTCTTAAAAACCATGAGATAATGACACTTTTATCATATACATTTTTAAATACATGTAGCACTTAAACATGAGTATGATGTTGATTATTAAACTGGTTCATCTAATATACAGGGTGAGCAAAAAAAGGTAACTCGATCAAATATTGGGATTATGCTCATATTTGGAGCAATTAAACCTTGTTCAATCTTCTTTCATTTTACTATGTTTCATTTGTCTATGGCCATTGAAAATTTTATGTCCATTTTACAAAATGCGCTGTAAAATGCTGGTGTCATGTCTGGGGGCAAACTTAAAGAGAGATGTTGCAATAGGAAAGTACAATCAAGACCCCCCTAGAGTTTTTTACATGTTGAGCCACACCACATTTTCACCTATCTACTTACCAACGATGAAGCCCCAAATATGATGCTCTGTGTGCTAATTTTCATGTTTGCGGAAAAATTATTTGTTGTAATTTATTATTTGAAACAAACCAAGGAAATTCATAAGTCACGTGGCCAAAGGAATTCCATAAATGGCACTTCTGGAAATTCTTAAAGAAATTAACAAGGCACAGGGTGAACAATATCGTACCTAAAACATAGCAGTGTGGAATCACAATGACAAGATTTAACTAAAAACTTCCAAGATGGCCGCAGGATTCCAAAATGGCCACCAAAAAGTTAATCAGCTCTAGAACTTCTTACCATGTTACAATTGTGAACATTTGAAGTAAATCCATCAAGTGGTTTTCCTTGAATTGTGATGACAAGATTTACCTAAAAACTTCCAAGATGGCCACCAGAATGCATCATGGCCACAGAAAAGTTAATCAGCTTTAGAACTTTTTACCATGTAACATGTGTGAAAATTCAGAGTAAATCTGTCAAGTGGTTTTCCTGGAATCACAATGACAAGATTTATCTAAAAACTTCCAAGATGGCCACCAGAATACAAGATGGCTGCCAAAAAGTAATCAGCTTTAGAACTTTTTACCATGTAACATGTGTAAAAATTTGAAGTAAATCCACTATGTGGTTTTCCAGGAATCGTGATGACAAGATTTATCTAAACACTTTCAAGATGGCCACCAGAATGCAAGATGTCTACTGAAAAGTTAATCAGCTCTAGAACTTCTAACCATGTAACATGTGTAAAAATTTGGAGTACATCCGTTAAGTGGTTTTCCTGGAATCGCCATGACAAGAAAGTGAGATGTTCCCGCCACCTACCACCCACCCGCCGCCTACCGCCTATCAAGCTGACGACAATAAGAAACCGGCGTTGAATCTGATTGGTTACCTCACTCATCCAGTTTTCAGAGGCTTGTGTGTTCATGTCATTTTACAGGGTTTTCCCTTGATTGGCACAATCAAACTCAATTGTGTTAAATTCTGACAGTTGATTTTCTCAATATGTCAGCAATACTTTATATTACCCACAAGTTGGTCTCAATATATATCTAATATATGTAAGATATTAAGCAATTATAATGGGACATCACTGATTGACATCTCCAGCTTCAATGTTTCAAGGGTTTTCAGTTTCGACATTAGCCTCACAGATAAAGGTTTGGGGGATTTATCGGCGTATGGAGTATGTTTTGTAAATGTGGCCATTTTGTGAACATTAGATCTAATAGAATGAAAGAACATTGAACAAAGTTTATTTGTGCCAAATATGATTTTAAACCCATGCTGAATGGCTGAGTCATTAAAGGCACATTGTAACATACAGCCGACAAAATGGTTCAAAAAATCTTTTTCAGGCTTTAGAGTGGTTTAAAACCTTGAGGAAATGGTGATAATGTTGTTTTTATGAAGCGGGGAAGTCAAAAGATTACAAATAGAAATCATAGTAAGCATTTGAAGATCATTAAGAAGCATTTAAAATCGAATCCACAGTAAAATCTGAAATAATTAAAATATTCCACACAGACCTCAGAGAAAACATTTCCGGTTTTATAATCCATGATTTTATCGATCAAAAAATATTTTTATGAATTTTTTCGATATCTGCTGAAATATGGTATGTATACTTATGTCGGTTGTAAAAATACAAAATAGGTAGGGTATAGAATATGTGAAAATTGTTTGATCTTGTCCCAGAACCAATATTTTGTTATTTTTATTGCCTAGAATTCCTTTAACCTACCATTGCAATGCTTGGATTAACTTTTTGGCTCACCCTGTAATAATTAGGATAATTAGGACTAGAAAAAAGAGTAGAAAATCCCTATGACCAAAACATTTTTTATGAATACTTTCCCGCTTATATTCTAATAACTTTGGGATATTGATATAAATACAAGTGTTTTTTGATAAATGAAATACCAGTTGTTGAATTGTATTAAAATACACACTGATGCATTTTTAGGATCATTGCTTGTGAAGGAATTTTCATGACAACTCTATTTAATTTAAATTGGTTGCTTAGAACCAAATCAACTCCTTACAAACTAGGATCATATTTGAAATACTTATTTTATTCAGAATTCAATCTCTGTTCAAGAAGGACTTTTCAAAATGCCTGAAAACTCGTAGACAAGACTTACAGACATGATTTTACGATGGAAAACACCAAGATGGCTGACAAAAAAAAGTAGACATAGAACACCTGAATTTATTTTTAAAGCTACTAAATAGTTTAATTACTCAAAAACACCTTTTAATATGATGAAAGACCCCCATGAGCATCATTTTCAAGGCCAAACTGTAAAATTTTCTATTGTAGTTAGACTGTAGCAATACTTTACTTCTACTTAATTTGGCGCTACTTATTTTGACAGACTTACTGTTTTGAACATTTGATGGCTTAATTTGGTGGATTTACAATATTACTATGTACTAAGGGGAGGCATCAAAAGTTCAATGTCGGATTGGAAACTAAATAAATATAGTTTTGACTCTGACCCCCCCCCCCCTCCCCCCAAAAACTAAATACCACGAAAGTTGATCGCTGACTTCCGGTTTGAGAATTTGAAAAATTATTGCAGGATCTAGTTTTTGTTAATTCCTATCGTAATTTGTGACCCTTGACAACTATTGATAGAATAGAATCCTTTGGAATGATCTTGAAGAAGAAAGCATCAGGTAAAATCTTTATTTTTAAACCATTTCAAGGCATTCTGAGTCAAAATTGCCAGAAATTTGAAATGTTGAAATTTGTCGGATAGCAAACTGAAATGGGTTTGAATCCCCTCCCCCCTAACTAGATTTATTTAGTTTTTTATCCGACAACGAATGTTTGATGCCTCCCCTAATGGTACTTATTTACATGGTACTAAAATTACCTGGGAATTTGGTGGCTACCTAATTTGGCAGACTTTGACAATTCAGTGGATCCATCAAATTAAAATGGCCACAAAACTCAGTAGAAGGACAGTGGCTACTATCCTCTGAATGTCAGGATATATGCAAGTCTGGTATCCAACGAAAATTGTTGTACTTACTGTTCCTTTGACGGAGCTGACGAAATGGAACCCAACAATCTGTGGGTAACGCTTCTTCAGTTTATCCATGGGGATCTCTGCTTTAGCCACCTAGGAGTAAACAATTACATCAGTCATTTGATCAATTAAATTCCCAAGACTGAGTAAAACAAGTAATCTTTTATTAATTTTAGAGATGTATGCACCACTGTATAATGATCTCTGAAATTCTGATATAGTGTTCTACAAGATGTAGCCCTTTTTTGCTTAAATATTTACACAAGAGAAGCTTTACTCTAGTATATCATGAGTATTCAATTGATTTTGTGAAATGATCCCATGAATTTTTGTTCCTTATTTCTTTTTTTCAATTAATATCTCCTCAATACAAAGGTGAATATAAACTACATGTTACATTACTGAACAGCCCCTACTATCTTCAATAAAAGTAAATAATAGGTAAATAAACAACAATTCATTGAAACAAGTGTTCAGTGCATATACCTGATCAATATGGGTTCCAACTATGAAGATTGGGGTGTCTGGGGCATGACTGGTGATGGAACTTAGCCAGAAATCTAGCCCAGCATGTTCATGGCCCAATCGTGTTGTCCACAGCAGCAAATATACAGCACGCTGTGACAAGAAAAACTGTAACAAAATATTTATCAATTCATGAATGAATTAAAAACAATAAGCATCCAATCATTTGGCTGACATTTGTTAATAAAAATGTGATATTCATAAGGAATCAAATTTAAAGATCAATGAATAAATCAATTTGGAACAAATGGGACTTTCATTTATATGCCATTTTTGTATAATGTTGTCTATATTGGGAAAAGACAAGTAATTTGTAGCCAACACAGTGATAGAACTGACACAAGCTATGATATTCTACCATATTGACATGAATTCATGATATTATATGGAAAAAATCAAATAATTCAAGACTTTTTGGAAAAGCCTCGTACAAAATAAATCCTGAAGGCATAAAGCTCAAAGACAATGTATGAAATGAAAGTCTATACCAACCTGATGTGTATTATAATAGATGGTTTGGCCCGCAAAGTCCCACACACTAAATGTCACTCCAAGACCATCATCATACATGACAGTCCAATTTTGAATATCTATCCCATCTGTGATTTCTTCACCCTTTGTCTCCACTGTCTTGTTCTGGCTGCTCATTAAAGCTTTTAGCAAACTGCAAATATCACAATTTTATGTTAATACTGAAGAGTTCCTTAATTGTTGAAAGGGCTCATTTTATAAAAATACCCCAAAAAATTGTACTCGCCTGCAATCGCCTCCAAGGAATCTAGAAAACAAGAAACTTAACAATGCGTATTTCAGAGAACAAGGCTGAAAATATGGGAACATGGATCAAAGCAATAATGAGAGCATGGACCAAGGTATTAATGGCCCTAATGTGTACTTGGAATGTACAGATGAGGCAATTGATCAAGACACTAATGAGAACTTGGATCAAAGCAATAATGAGAGCATGGACCAAGGTATTAATGGCCCTAATGTGTACTTGGAATGTACAGATGAGGCAATTGATCAAGACACTAATGAGACCATGGATCAAAGCAATAATGAGAGCATGGACCAAGGTATTAATGCCGCTAATGTGTACTTGGAATGTACAGATGAGGCAATTGATCAAGACACTAATGAGAACTTGGATGAAAGCAATAATGAGAGCATGGACCAAGGTATTAATGGCGCTAATGTGTACTTGGAATGTACAGATGAGGCAATTGATCAAGACACTAATGAGAACTTGGATCAAAGCAATAATGAGAGCATGGACCAAGGTATTAATGGCGCTAATGTGTACTTGGAATGTACAGATGAGGCAATAACGCAGATGCGAGTAGGTAGTTACCAGATTCACCACCAGGTGGCTCGTTCGGGTCAGATAGCATGGCGGGTATAGGAGAAAGTTCCCTTAAACTTAAATCACATCTGTTTTAATGATTCAATTTTCATATAACCCTTATGTATCTAATAGTTATGCTAACTGAAATATGTCCAGTAAAAGAAAATGTTATCTTTCCAATACAAGAAAAGATATTTCACTTTTTTTGATTTTGTATCATGGGGTCTAAGGGGAATCAACCCGAACAAGAAGTCACATTTTCAAAAAAAATTAAATTTTCAAAGTTGATAAACAATTTTCGAAACCATATTTCTAGATGTACTTTTACATGCAGATTTCAAATATGACATCACTTTGACTGAATTTTGAATATTTAATGACGTAAATCAAGATTATTTCTACTCGCACCTAGTCTATTGATCAAGACACTAATGAGAACTTGGATGAAAGCAATAATGAGAGCATGGACCAAGGTATTAATGGCCCTAATGTGTACTTGGAATGTACAGATGAGGCAATTGATCAAGACACTAATGAGAACTTGGATCAAAGCAATAATGAGAGCATGGACCAAGGTATTAATGGCCCTAATGTGTACTTGGAATGTACAGATGAGGCAATCGATCAAGACACTAATGAGAACTTGGATGAAAGCAATAATGAGAGCATGAACCAAGGTATTAATGGCCCTAATGTGTACTTGGAATGTACAGATGAGGCAATCGATCAAGACACTAATGAGAACTTGGGTCAAAGCAATAATGAGAGCATGGACCAAGGTATTAATGGCCCTAATGTGTACTTGGAATGTACAGATGAGGCAATTGATCAAGACACTAATGAGAACTTGGATCAAAGCAATAATGAGAGCATGGACCAAGGTATTAATGGCCCTAATGTGTACTTGGAATGTACAGATGAGGCAATTGATCAAGACACTAATGAGAACTTGGATCAAAGCAATAATGAGAGCATGGACCAAGGTATTAATGGCCTAATGTGTACTTGGAATGTACAGATGAGGCAATTGATCAAGACACTAATGAGACCATGGATCAAAGCAATAATGAGAGCATGGACCAAGGTATTAATGCCGCTAATGTGTACTTGGAATGTACAGATGAGGCAATTGATCAAGACACTAATGAGAACTTGGATGAAAGCAATAATGAGAGCATGGACCAAGGTATTAATGGCGCTAATGTGTACTTGGAATGTACAGATGAGGCAATTGATCAAGACACTAATGAGAACTTGGATCAAAGCAATAATGAGAGCATGGACCAAGGTATTAATGGCGCTAATGTGTACTTGGAATGTTCAGATGAGGCAATAACGCAGATGCGAGTAGGTAGTTACCAGATTCACCACCAGGTGGCTCGTTCGGGTCAGATAGCATGGCGGGTATAGGAGAAAGTTCCCTTAAACTTAAATCACATCTGTTTTAATGATTCAATTTTCATATAACCCTTATGTATCTAATAGTTATGCTAACTGAAATATGTCCAGTAAAAGAAAATGTTATCTTTCCAATACAAGAAAAGATATTTCACTTTTTTTGATTTTGTATCATGGGGTCTATGGGGAATCAACCCGAACAAGAAGTCACATTTTCAAAAAAAATTAAATTTTCAAAGTTGATAAACAATTTTCGAAACCATATTTCTAGATGTACTTTTACATGCAGATTTCAAATATGACATCACTTTGACTGAATTTTGAATATTTAATGACGTAAATCAAGATTATTTCTACTCGCACCTAGTCTATTGATCAAGACACTAATGAGAACTTGGATGAAAGCAATAATGAGAGCATGGACCAAGGTATTAATGGCCCTAATGTGTACTTGGAATGTACAGATGAGGCAATTGATCAAGACACTAATGAGAACTTGGATCAAAGCAATAATGAGAGCATGGACCAAGGTATTAATGGCCCTAATGTGTACTTGGAATGTACAGATGAGGCAATTGATCAAGACACTAATGAGAACTTGGATGAAAGCAATAATGAGAGCATGGACCAAGGTATTAATGGCACTAATGTGTACTTGGAATGTACAGATGAGGCAATTGATCAAGACACTAATGAGAACTTGGATCAAAGCAATAATGAGAGCATGGACCAAGGTATTAATGGCCCTAATGTGTACTTGGAATGTACAGATGAAGCAATCGATCAAGACACTAATGAGAACTTGGATCAAAGCAATAATGAGAGCATGGACCAAGGTATTAATGGCCCTAATGTGTACTTGGAATGTACAGATGAGGCAATTGATCAAGACACTAATGAGAACTTGGATGAAAGCAATAATGAGAGCATGGACCAAGGTATTAATGGCCCTAATGTGTACTTGGAATGTACAGATGAGGCAATTGATCAAGACACTAATGAGAACTTGGATGAAAGCAATAATGAGAGCATGGACCAAGGTATTAATGGCGCTAATGTGTACTTGGAATGTACAGATGAGGCAATTGATCAAGACACTAATGAGAACTTGGATCAAAGCAATAATGAGAGCATGGACCAAGGTATTAATGGCCCTAATGTGTACTTGGAATGTACAGATGAGGCAATTGATCAAGACACTAATGAGAACTTGGATCAAAGCAATAATGAGAGCATGGATCAAGGTATTAATGGCCCTAATGTGTACTTGGAATGTACAGATGAGGCAATTGATCAAGACACTAATGAGAACTTGGATCAAAGCAATAATGAGAGCATGGACCAAGGTATTAATGGCACTAATGTGTACTTGGAATGTACAGACGAGGCAATTGATCAAGACACTAATGAGAACTTGGATCAGGGAAAATATGAGAACATTGATTAAGGCATTAATGAGATCTTGGATTTTTTATGAACAATGGCCACCATTGCAAAATTCAGCATCAGCAATTGAACAAAATCCATCCACTGATATTTGAGTTATCAAAGATTACCTCTACTTGAGAGAAATGTTCAAAATAGCCTCTCAATTCAAAATGGCCCCATTTAAAAAAATTTAATCTTTGATAACTCAAATACTAGTTGACGGATTTGATTCAAATTCTATACAGTCGATATGTAATTAGACATGCGCAGAGCTCTATTTAGTGATATTTTCATTTCAAATATGGCGGCCAATCCGATGTCTGGCGACCCTTACAAAGAATCTAGGCAGTGTGCATTTTTACCTCCTGTGAAATAACAAGTGGAATTAAGTAGTTGTTTTGTGTTTTACTATCATTCTGCATCGTAATTCTATGTGATGTGGTGTTAAAATGTCAGCAGAAATAAATATCCATACGATAATCCTGGCTCAAATTTTCATCTACTCTAGTTTGCACCACAAATGTGAACTTTGAGACACAAATGAGAGTAAAAGCAAGGGTATCGCACTCACATCGCAAAGGATGGCAAAGAGACAGTTTCGAAAAACTAGATGCACTGATACTTTAAAAGCTCAACCATCACTGGATACACAAGTGTTCATAATGAAATAACAATATGAACAGATATGAAAAGTTCTCACCTTGTTTTCCCAGCTCCCCCAAGGCCCACGAGCATGAGCTTAGTACGTCTGCACTCAGTGGATCCTTTAATGAGGCGTTTCATGTATGCATTAGTTGGTCCAGTCCCATGGCTGATCACTTCATGAGGAGGTGTTTTCAGTGAAGGACAGTGTGACAGAAAGCAGGCATCTGACAATTAAATACACCAAAATTCAAATACTCTGTAAATTATTGGAACAGAAAAATCCAAAACTGCTGGGAACTGTATATAAGTCTTTTGCTCCAGTTACACAAAACAATAACTACATGTAAAAATCAAATATAGAATAAATTACCCAATATTACAAGTACAAATAACCCAAGCAGATTCATTCTAAATGCCTTTATTACTACAGTGTATATGTTATGCATAAGTTGTGCACAATGTACTTACCCAGACTGAGGTTTCCGAGCTCAGGGGGTAGGCTCTCAAACAATGGGTTATTTTGTAGTAACAGCTTCTTAAGGTTTGTCAGTCTCTCCACACTTGCAGGCAAATGTCGTATAGTAGTGTGTGTCAACTCTAGAAACTCCAGTTTCTTCAAAGAACATATCACCTCTGGGAATCCTCCAGATGCTGCATCTATAAAATATATCAATGGTGTAATACTTGAGTTTCAATTATTTCTTATTTAGAACTGGATCATCAACACTGCAGTATTGACATGGCTTTTAAAAGTATTTGTAGAAATACTAGAGTACTTCAATATTTCTGTCAAACTAAAGATCTTCTCATCTAGTGGTGTAACTAAATCTATGCTTTATACCTAAAAGGTGCATTAGCAAGCCACAAGTAGAAAAAATATAACCTTTTTTAGTTTCATACAGTAAACAATAATTGACCTGATAATCAAAAATGATTTATTCTAGGGCAGGTTAATCCGAAATTCAAACACATCAACCCCCCCCCCCCTGGCTACTGGCCTGTTTGATTATTAAAATGAACAGACCCTTCATACTGCAACCCAGACGGGGAATGGTCCAAAATAGATCAGCATTCAGATTCGCTAATTCTCTCCTGTCCAGCATTTTGTTGCTATCGATGTCATATTTATCAAACAGTTCATCAATTGTTGACTGTGGTAGCAATCTCTGTATGAACTGGATACCACTCATGTTAGGATCTTCGAGGAACTTCTCTTTGGGGATTTTGACGTCTTCATACAGACCCTTTGTCTCATACCACGGTATACCTTCAAGTGTAAATACTCTCAAATTAAATAAGGTATTTTGAGAAGTCAAAATACTGACCACTTTATAAAAATCCAATTCACTATGAGAAAAGTGTGCAAATGGCCATTGTTCCTACTCAAATTAATCATGCCCAAAGCAAGAACCTTGTTATATTAACTGTACTGTCATCCTCCATCAGCATGGTCACCATGTGTGTGGTTGAGGAGTAAAAAATAGTGCTTCCAAAAGAGTATTTTATTCCTATCAATACACAAATTACTTTTGCAGTTTCTTCAGTCTTAGGTTTGGAAACAATATCAACGATATTTTTGAATCTTTTTGAAGTTTATATAGTGTTTTCAATTTGAAAAAAAACTACACAAACCTCCAATCTTCAACATGATTAGATTCTGAGCCAAAGCTAGCTCTGGGGGTAGAGAAGACACCATAGTACCCTCAAGTCTGAGCTTTGTAAGGTTTACAACACAAAGTGACTGGGGTACACATCTTAATGGACTTTGAGCCACTTTCACTTGCTGTATTGCAGGACTAAATAAATGATCTGGTAGTGTCTCTATGTACGTTTTTGCAATCTCCAGTATCTTGATTCCAAGCTTCCTTGTATGTTCCTCAGAAAAACATGTACCATTAAACCTCACTGAAAGGTCTGAGAGTTTTGGACATCTTGAGAAATCAGGAATTGTCCATTCTCCATCAATGCGACGATCTTCTGCCAAGTCAAGCCGCAATGACACCAAATTGGTAAACAGGCTCAGATCAAGTAGTGTTGAAGGATCTGGTATTTTGATAGTGAGATTATGTGGCATTGATTTATCAGGGATTGCTTCTAAGTCAATCACACTGATGCCAACATGGCCACCCTTCTCATTTTCATATTTCTCAGAGACATGAATCTTAGTTTGACACATGGGTACATCCACTTTACTAAGTATTGGTTTCCACTTGTGTTTCTTGCCTCTGTTGGTGGAGTCATAGAAGTAACTTGACTTAAGGTAGAAGAGCAGGAAACGTGTCATTAGGGTTTCCACAACAGCCTGATCAACTCCACAACCATCCTGTAACCCTAGTATACCTTCAAAATTCGGTAACCTCAGCTAAAACGTAAAAGAAACATGGAGTCAATGCATTGAGGTAAATAAAGATCAATGTTTACTTCAAACATTATTTTCGTTTCGATGTACTAGAAACCTTGCAAAATGACTGGGATGTAAGCAAAATGGGTAATGGCATTGTAGGATCCACCGCCTTTTTTGGATAAACAGAAAAGCATGAGATACATGTAAAGAGAGGCTCAGATAAATCAAAATGGATGATGGGTTGGTTAAAATAAGTTGAATGTTAAAGACAAAAATGACAGAAACAGTTGATATGATTGAAACATACAGTATGGTACACATATGGCATAATTTGACATTATATTCAGGAAAAATCAATACACAGTTTCTTTCAAGACAGATGAATTACTTACCTTTGTCATTAGAGCAATGTCAAGCCTTATCAAACGGTTGTATTCATGATACACCAGGGTCTTGTCTGGTAGGCCACCTTCTATTGGAGTCCCCTTTTGGTAGAGTATATGAGCTGAAAAAGGACTACAATTTATTTTCATGTTTTTTTGTGCCACAATGTCACCAAGCTTAATTGAAGGTAAACTGAGAATTCAACAATAGGATTGTTTATTTCCTGTTGGTGTCTACTCGGCCATTTTGGATCTATCACAATGAGATAATGCATATATTATAGCATTATTAAAATGAATGGTTAACGAGAACAAACAATCAGTTATAAGAACGAGAAAGTGATTTTGTACTTACACTGCCTGTAGAGTACTCCTTCAGGGGTCCTATTCTTAAAGATCGCATCTGAAGACTCTTCCAGTGAACATATTCTGTGTAACAAGATGTTTCCTGCATCGTAGATCTTGTCAATAGATGGCAGTGTCATATCAGATATATGTATTGAGCTTGGCAGAGGAAAATACATCTTAAAGTTGGACTTTGTTGTGGCTTCTTTGTAATGTTCTGAGGGGGCCCCAATGTAACGTGAGTGCACTGAAATCATAATATATTATATTAAATATGGTAGTCCTTTTGATTTAATAAATAACACATTTTATTTTGGTCTGAAGCCAAGGGGTGTCGGGGGTTTGAACTGCCAAGGATTCTTTCAAAACCATGCAGTTTTTCACCATTTTGAGCACTTTTCATGTTATTAATAATGGGCCAGATTTTCTAAAAGTGAACCCTCTTGGCAAAAGATGGCTATAGGCCTGTACTCTTAAGGTGGTAGTCAAAATAAATATCTAAAATAAATGTCTTAGCCCAGGCAGGAGATTCTTGAGAATGAAAAATGTAAGAAAATCTTGAAATAATACCAAACATCGATCCAGATGTACCTTTTACAGTGCATACCTTAGACAAACAAACGTATACAGTACATGGATTAAAAGCTAAGTATGCATTTTATTTTATGAATAAAGCAATGTATGCATTCGAGATTGTGCCAAAATATTGCCTTTACTTATATGTATTTTGTGTTAAAAACCGGTGATCACCTGTTACAGAGTAAGGCCAATGAACACATGTAGAGTAATTCTGGGCATAGCTTCGACTTGTGATCAATGCATCCAGCAGTTTCTTGTAGGCATCCAGGAAGAGATGGCCTGTTTGTGTAGCATGCGACAGATTTTCCCTTGTTCTTTCCTGCAAACATGAGATAGGTTAATCTGAAAATACTGCATTATACGCTGTATATTTATATCATTTTATGATCAAGATCCTAAGCTACAGTGAAGAGAAAGAGCATGGTGTAGAGAAAGAGCATGGTGTTTGATCTGAATATGGGCAAGCATAAAACATTGACAAGTAGGCCTATATTGGAATGAGTTTATACAAAATTGGTGAATTTGGTGCTGAACTTGTATAAAAATCTATATTCTTTTTGAAAACCTGGAAAATTTGAAAAATCTGAAGCTCAGTTACTAAAGTTGATAATGGAGATATTTTCTTGCACCACCTAAATAAAGTGCTTCACCTTTATATGTATTCAATAATTCTAGCATCATTTTCTCCACAATAATTCGGAATAATTTGCCATCATACTTACAATCATACTTTGTGGAGCTTTAATTGCTTTCAGGGCATCTAAAATAGCTGCAATGCTACTCGTCTCATTTTGTGAATTATTGGATAATTTACTTGGAGCCTTGCTCTTGGTTTTTGCAACCTTTTTTGTAGCCAAACGAGGGTTTGAAGACTGCACAGATATGGCATCATTGATATCCTTTGCAAGCTCTCTTGCTTCAGCAGGGTTGGATGTTAACAAGACTTGACAGGTTCTTTCCACCCACAGGGCTAGCAAGTCTATTTTCTGCGCTGTCCATGACTTGAAATTAAATTAATAAAACCATCAGTTGATTTGAAAATGCATTTTTAAATTCCACTTTGTAAAAGCCATTACTTGTAGTTAATCCATAAAAATGTTTGGAAAAAGTGTAATGCTATAATTGTGCATTAATTGGTTTTATACTCCATATATTTTGTATATATTTTTGTTGCTTGTGTAGTTTCGTTGTATTTTAGTTTTTTATATTGTAATTGTACACTACAGCTTAAAGTGCATCTCTAATGAGCAATATGGTATTGTTATGTGTATATAGAGTACTACATATACATATATGGTTTTTATTGTACCAAGGTTTATAACCTGTCACAAAACACCTCATAATTATTTTTCACATTTTTACCTTTACTTGATTTTCGCAAGTCAAATGTATTTGTTTTTCAATAAGTTTCTTCTCCAGTGCTAAATCAGGACATAATTCAGACACATCTGGAAAAGATTAACATTTAAATTCAATGCATACATGAAGCACATGTACTAGTCTCTATTGCAAACTACCCTAAACTATAATTTTCTAAAACATTATGTGCTAGGCCCCTATAGGTTATACCATGGGCTTTCAAGAGATATCAGAATTTTGAAAAAATGACCAAAAAAAATTTTAAAAGGATAAGAAAATGTAACAAACAACAATGTTTGGGATGACAAGGTGGGGACCAGAAAACATTAAAATAAGGACATTAGTAGTCCATGGTTTGGTTTGACATTTTCTAGTATTTCCCTTTATCAAATCTCAACAACCAAGACTAATGCAGTATATTATAGTGTTATTACTGATTGAAGCCCATATTCACAATCAAGTTCAGTTATAAAAATAAATTACTTCTCTCTCGAATTTTTGCAAGTCTCTTCTCAGTTGCTGAGGGTGTCATGCAAGCTATGGCAAGTTCATGCCACCCTGGGGTCAAGACATTCTCCTGGGACAGCTTCTGCTTAAAGCTAACGACATTCATGTCTTTGCCAACATCTTCAAAACTTCCCTGTCTATTTTCTATGTTTAATATAGGAAGCATCAACCACTCATCCTCCCTGCAAAACAAACCAGTAGTTGATTATTCTAATTGTAATGAATTGGATATTTACATTTTCAATTGTGTTAGTATATATATATGATAACCTCTACAAACTGAACTTGAGATTTGGGATGGAGGACACATAAGTACATGTACTACTTGCTTAATTATAAAAGTTTTCATTATCCTTTGCTACAACTTCAAGTCAAACAAGAGACACAGTGCTAATTAACACTTTACCCAGCATACCCATACTCTGATCATATGTTGGTATTAATCTGCTCTTGCATCTTTCAAATTAAATGAATATGTGTTTTCCTGAAATTTTTATGACATTTAAGATACTTACCTCAAACAAACTGTTCAAATGCTCCACATTCATAGAATACTGAATTTATTGTATTTATAAAATATTATTAAAAAGATTGACTTACGAATCTGTAAATCGTGTTTCAACTTCTTGTTCCTGTTCCGGTTCAATCTCGAGGTCAAGATGTACTTTTTCTACGAATTCATCAAAGCGTTCCTTCGCCAATCCCTTCCTTTGTTTAGATTCTTTGAAATTTTTGTTTTGAAATAGCCTGCTCACAGCACCTTGTTCTACCTTGTTGATTCCAACATAACTCCCTCTCGCTGGTGTATAAGGCCTTGGACTAGCTGTCTGTAAAAGACAAATTTCAAATTGTGTTTCAACTTTCAAGTCAAACAAAGAGTTATTCAAGACATTATGTTATATGGTATAAAAATACACAAAATTGTTCTAAGAAGAACTGTAAACTATGGTAAAATGTGTATGTTACATGAATTGCAAAGTAGAATGTACTTACTGGTAGCAATGGACACTGAAAGAATTTGCTATCTGGTAGAAAATCCAGAACACTGCTTGTATTGGTTTCTAGTACAAGCTTATAGCTCAGCCTGGGTATATAGAAGATATGGTGGACCAATTGATCGTTCTCTTGTGAGTAGGTGCACATATCAAGGAGGTAACAATCCTGCAAAAATTGCATCATATAAGTACAATATGGACCACAGGCAATGATATATTATTCATTCAATCATTTATATATTGTTTTTAACTATGTGTGAACATTGAAGGTTCAAATCACACATCAATATTCTGAAAGATTAATAGTACATGTAAGTTAATTAACAGTAAGTTCATCTATTTCATACCACCCTATGCGGACAGAGCCTGTGGGAAATATTGGGTGCGGCGCAAATGAGCGGAGGGTGCGGAGCTAACGGTCATTTTTTTATTTAAAATTGGGATATTTCTGAAACTAAGCCGTTTTGGGACTTCAAATATACCAAGATATGTGTATTTGACACCAAATATCAATAAAATTGTGAAAATAGTAGTGCAATTCATTTAATAGCGACGCAGTATGCCTTAAACATTTCCCAGACCTATATATTTTGAGACTATTCTTTTTAATACTGCGTCCCCAGCATTCATAAAAAATGGTGTTCAAGATATCTATCTACGTTTATGGAGCTCCTCCGCACCCAATATTTAGAGGGGGCTCATATCTGAAAAACATTCCGAATTTTTATAAAATCACACAGATACTGCCTGGCTTCCAAGATGCAAAAATAATTTGTATAGATAGTGTACCTTGAACACCATTTTTTTAAGAATGCTGGGGACTCAGTATTAAAAGGATAATTTCAAAATATATAGGTCTGGGAAAGGTTTAAGGCACACTGCGTCGCTATAGAATGAATTGCGCTACTATTTTCACAATTGTATTGATATTTGGTGTCAAATACACATATCTTGGTATATTTGAAGTCTCAAAACGGCTTAGTTTCAGAAATATCCCAAATTTAAATTCAAAAATGACCGTTAGCTCCGCACCCTCCGCTCATTTGCTCCGCACCCAATATTTCCCACAGGCTCTGTCTGCATAGGGTGCATACCTGGAATATGTGTCTAGGCCAGTAAGTTTGATTAGGTTTTAGATTCTTCATATTGAAGAGATAAAATGTTTCATTTCCCTTTTCTGATTTGAGGTCCAACTGTCGAATCATCCTTTTATGCTGGTTGTTCTCCAAGAGACCTTTGAATCTATAAGATTAACCACACATAGGTTCAATTAAAGGAACTAAACTTTTGTTATTCAACTTTGTTTGATAATTTTTGTCTAATTACAGAATAATAGACAACAAATTACTTCATGAAAAAATCTGATTTCTGATATATACAAAACAATAAACAACACTTGTCATGTATGATACAAAATATGCATTTTCAAAATACAACTCTGTTACTCTAAGTAACAAAAATCCATTAAAATGAAACACCTCTGTAAATTGAACACACCTAAAGCTGAAATTTTTTAGGTACCACTAACACAGATTTTACAGTACTTCAAATGTGATCCAGATTTATGCCAATTCACCCCATAGCTACACTTACTTGACTTGATGTAGATCATTTTTTTCCTTGGCCGTATCTAATTTCGCATCAAATGCCTTTACAGATTTGATTTGCTTCAGGTCCGTTTCGCACCAAGCTACTTCAATGTCAATGGGTTCATCTGAATCATCTATGTGCATTAGTCCCACCGATTCATAGCCATCAGGTAAGACAATCAGTTGAGTGATGTAAGTCTCATCACTAAAGTTGGAGCACTGAAAATATTGTTAGAAATCTTTAATGTACAATTATGTATGAATGCATCTTTCTTTTAAAGATAGAATGCCGATAACTCAGTGCTAATTCCTTAGAAAAACTTCAAAATAAATCGTTGGTGTCTAAAACCTACGCTGAGGAATGGCTATAACCTGAACTTTTTTTTCTTTTTTTTTGTAAAATCTATTTATTTCTTAACATATGTACAACATGTATGCATAATATTACATAATTACAGTTACAATACAGAGTTAAAAACTATTTACATTTAATTAAAATTTTTCAATAAATGTACCACTCTCTTAAGAATTAGGTTTTCATAATATATCTCGTTTTCTGTTGGTTTTACACCTAGACGTTCCAAAATGTTACATTCATTTCCAATCCAAATAGGTTCAATTTTTTTACAACTAACAAAAAAATGGGCCATATTGTCATTTTCATCACAGAATTTACATTTGTCACTATCCATTATGTTATATCTTTTAAGTATGCCCCCATGAGGGTAGATTTTATGGAGTATCTTCCATTGTAATTCTAAGAGAACTGTTTCTCTAGTACATTTATAAAGTGTTTCCCATACATCTTTGAGGATATGCTCACCATCATAATACAATTCAACCTTTCTGTCTTGTACCAATTTTTTCCTAATAAATTTAGCAGTTATTTTATTAACTTCAATATTTCTGAAGTAAAGTTTGTCATTTACATGATCATCTTCACAATTATACCATCTAAAAATGTGTTCTGGTTTTAAAGCATTTCTTAATGCCTGATACTGTAAAAAATACTTGGCCATTTCTACCTACTATGTTGGCAATATCATCATATGGTACCAATGCTTTGTTTCTAATGACATCCTTAATGTATATCAGTTTTTTCTCAATCCAATTAGAAAAAAACAGAGTTTTATTAGCTCTTACAACATTGTCATTATTCCATAATATATACTCATCTTTATAATTACAATATTCTATCCACATTTTTGATATATCAGCATAAAATTCAGAGCAGTTCTCTAGACCACTTATTTTTTCAGCTGAAGTGTTACTTCTAAAAACAGAGAGGTTTACTCCCAGCTTATCATACATACTAAAGGGAATAGATTTCCAATGCCCTTTGGAGCTATCCTTAAGTTTTTTGACCCACTGTAATGCATATGCAATTTGCATGTCTTTAACATTGATCATTTGTAGACCACCTTCAGAATAGTCTTGTACAATAACATCTCTTTTAACTTTCTCAGGCACATTCTTTAAGTCACATTCCTTAAATTTTCCCTTGGCCCAAATAAATTTGAAAACCATTGTATTTATTCTGTTTAAAATATTCTCTGGTAAAATAAAGCCTTGCATTATATAGGAAAATTGTGATACTTACTTTAGTCAAAATACCAGAGCCTGGAAAAATCACTCACTCAATATCCATGAAAGAAGTTTCAGTTTTGATTGACTGCGAGAGCAAAATTTAAGCTGAGCTAAACGGCTTTCGTGCATCGTAAAATTGACTTCCTTTTAACTATGCCATCTGGTGAATAAATAATTGTTTTTGTGTCACATGACCTATCTTTAGACACTTCAACACCTCCCTCGTAAGTTTATCAAATTAAAATTACATTTTTTCAGTCCAAGAAGCTGCACAAAAATTATAAACACCGCTGGACATATTCCTTTTCACTTTATCTTCTTGATGAGACACATCGGAACTTGGTATTATTCATAGCCATTCAACCAAGCCACAAAAAGTATGTAAATTAGTTGTTCAACATGTTCAATTGTGTCAATATTATCGGGATTCAACCTTTAACAGTTATGATTATTCCTTTTCAAGATAAAAGAAGGTTCAATTCTGAACTAGACCGCAGCAACGCCAAAGCGTAGCAAATCCCATCGAACAGCCATGGCTGGCATATTTACAAACAAAGTATATAGCAAAAATGGCAGCCATTTTTCAAAATGGCCACCTTCTACCAAAAGTGTCATTAGACAGTGTGCCATGCTTATAGTATTCACATACCAAATATGAACAAAATCGCTCCACTGCTTTTCAAGTTATAGTAAAATACGTTAAAATGGCGGCCATTTTTCAAAATGGCCGCCTTCTACCAAAAGTGTCATTAGACAGTGTACCATGCTTATAGTATTCAGATACCAAATATGAACAAAATCACTCCACTACTTTTCGAGTTATGGTAAAATACATTAAAATGGCGGCCAAAATGGTGGCCATTTTGAAAAATGGCCGCTTTCTACCAAAAGTGTCATTAGACAGTGTGCCATGCTTGTAGTATTCACATACCAAATATGAACAAATACGCTCCACTACTTTTCGAGTTACAGCAAAAATCGTAAAATAACAAGTAAAGGCCGCCATTTTTCAAGATGGCTGCCATGTGCTTCTTTAATATCTACATTTCTAGCTTTATTAATGTCCTATATAATTTTTTTACATTTAAAACATATTGCTATTACAGTTTTACATATTACACCTAAATCACTGTAAAATCGGCACTAAAATGGCCGCCATTTTTAAATGAGCGGCCATTTTGAAAATCGGCTTTCAAGCAGAACTTCTACCTCCATAGGGTATATGTGTACAAAACATGAACAAAATCAGGCCAACGGTATTTGAGTTATTGCCCGGACGGACGGACGGACGGACGGACGGAGGCGTTCCCTATATCCCTCCGAACTTTGTTCGATGGGATAAAAATGTGCTTTTCGCTCAATATACAGTATTTTGCACCTGTAAATTATGTACATGATATGTACATGCATGTAATGGATGAAAATGCACCAAGTTTACATGTACATGTCTGTATAAAACAATAGCAAAAAGACACGTAATTTACAATTTTTTGGGAAATTGACTTTAACAATTTTTGCATTTATTTATACTGTTTATGTTATACTAAATGAATATGATAATAAATAAATAAAAAAGATTAAAAAAAATTCCAATAATCACATTTTGTCCAAGCAATGCTAAAAAAGTATTTATTTATTTTATTAAAGTGTCACTTGTATCATATCATACAACCAGCCCTATCTGGGCTTATGAGACACATTTGAACATTTTAAAATAACTAGTTATTGTTTAAAAATAAAGTCTTTCCTGATCTGCATTATGTCAATTAAATACTGACCAAACATCTTAGTGTATCTTTTACTTTTAAAAATGTCACTTAAAGTCAGACTCTCTATTTCCAATTTTTCAAAGAACTCATTTCTTTTTTTCTATATGCACTACAATCAAAAATAAAATGCTTTTCATCTTCGATTTCACCGGACTTACAAATGTTACAAAAAAAGTAAGACGGAAATATGTAATGTGATAATGTTACCTTAACATGGATGAGCTGTGGGGATTCAGATACATTGTGGAACAGAAGCTTCCTCTGTACTTCAAGATCAATGTTGTTGTTGTCCATTCCACTAGAGTAAAGAATAAAGCAAAATGTAGATTGTCTTACTTAAAAAGCCTCATCTCCAGCCAGTATTTATTTCAACAAACATATGTTGGAGAGAATGGGAGGGGGGGGGGCAGATAGCTTGATCCAGTATTATCTGCAAGCTGGGATACTTGTATAACAAACAAGTATCAAAAAGCTCTATTAGAATCATATTTTCTCTCAGATTGTACTTTATGTTGATCAGATTTCCAATCAAAGCATGGACAGTTACCAGGCAGGCCATTAACAGAAACTTAGTACAGTTACGAATTCATGAAATCCATTGTTCTCTAACTGTGACGTCATAATATCCATGGTAACAACAATTGATTTACGAATTTGTAACTTTACGAGGTTTCTGTTCATGATCCCCAGGTAGATATCATTTTTAATAACTTTGAATGTGACTAACAAAGATGCAGGAATTACCTTATATGAAGTCCATTTGCCTTGTAGCTGGTGTCTGTAAAAGTGGCCTGGAAATATTCATCAAACATTGATAGGTTTTTTGGTTTAGAAAGGTGTTTATAGTATGTTAAGTATTAAGTTTAGTTTTAAGTTTATTGGCCCAACAAAATATGTCTTACCAAGTACAAGCTAACATTTGTATGCATATAATGCAGCTGAATGTACATTATCAATAACATGTTATGCTCGTATGTTAACATGGTTTGTGTTCTTTGTATACATTCAAGAATAGAGAATGTTCCATAGTTAAAGGAGATTGTCAAATATTTACATGTCTCATTTTAAGACAAGCAGAAAACATCTGTTAAACATTGTATCTCATGGTTTAAAAGCAATATTCAATGGTTATGCCAAAATTTAATACAATTAAATTACAAAAATACTGTGACATGATATCCTCTGTGTACCATAGTGTCAAGGAACTCTAGGAAATATTTTCTTGTAAAAAGAGCTACCGGTATGTAGTATATAGTTTGTATGACTAAATATATATATATATATCTTTTATTGACTCTCTGATGTCATTACAATGACATATTAGTCACTAAAAAAAAAGAATAAATACTAGATTAGTATTTTTGCGATTTTTGATTTTTAAACTTTATTTTTACAAAATTTTGATTCTAGTTTTAAAGTATGATATATCTCCCCATAACCCCCAGGTATAGAGCAATGTCTTGTCCACTGTTGAAGAACATTGTACATGTCCTAAAATGGGATAAATTGTATTACCTCAGTTTTTCCCCACCAAACAGAGTCGCTGCCAAGTTTTACAATGTTATCTGCCCCAAGAGAGACTGCTGCAAATAATTCCAATTCACTGGGGACATCACAGAATGTTTTCTCATTATTCTGAAAGAATCAATGATCATTGCTTATACCGTATGCATACAGTCTAAAAGTGGAAACTGGAACAAAATTGAGTCATAATGTTGTTATCACACGTGTAGAATTTGCTTTAATTTAAAGCAATTATTACTGTTATATAATATGACAAGACACCAACATAAGAGCTCACAAGTGTTCTCATGATAGTTATATGAAGTTATGAACTGTTATTTGGCCTACCTGTTTATCAAGAACACCATTTACGTACATCTGGATGGTTATTTTGTCCTCGTCTTTTCCTTTACCCCTTGTTACAACTACTCTGATAGAATCTTTCACACCCCTAGGCTTTATCTTTTTCTCCTTGGCACTTTTAACCTTTAAACCAGCCTTAACATCTGGATCAAACACGGGAACATTCTTTTTGAGTTCTTCCAAGAAATTTGCCTGATTATTTTGTGCATCTTCTTTGCTTGTATTAGCATCTGGAAACAATGCACTTCTGAGGAGGTTATCATTTGCATTGGCATTGGTATTGGTTGTCAAAGTGCGCGCCTGTAAGTTTGTAGATAATACGTTCACATTGGACAGTGCAGGATCATTATTCAGCTGAAGATCAGGTAAATCATCAAGCCTGTTGGACTCTTCCAAGAGACCTACAGATATGGCTCCATCACGGGGCACCGGAGGTCTAGCAGCTCGTGTTGCCAGTTGCTGTCTAGGAGCAGCATGCATGTAACCTCGAGTTCTCTGCGGTTGTACATTTGGTACCGCTTGTGTAGAGCTTTGCAGATTATCCTCTTCATCCTCTGCTTGTATATCATTCAGAATCTCCTGCAAATCTTCATCTTCACCATAGTCTTCATCTTCATTGTCTTCGTCACCCTCAAAGTCATCTTCATCATCCGAATCATAGACATCTGTTTCTCTTTTGACTTCAGGGTGGTTATTTTCGCTAAATACAGATATCAGCATGATAATTAGAAACACTTTCATAGAAAAAGATATTGGTGGCTTCATTAATAAGAAAATAGTATTCTATTTAAATAGGTGCCTTGTTTGGAAATTCTATATAATTGTCCTTTATAACTCAAACTTACTTTCCGGCTATTGGATTCCACATATAAACATGTCGTCGTTTATCATGATTTATATCCCAGAATGCAACATCAGCAGGAGCCAGACCAATGAGGACACTGTTTCTCTCATCAACTAAAATCTCTACAACAAAATACATGCTCGATCAAGAAATGATTTATTAGACTTATTGACATACAATCACATGGTCCTATGTCTTTTTGTCTCGTGTTATTCATGTATTTCTTTCCATGCCTCTGTTTGATGTGGATGTTTGTACAAATAGGTTAATCAAAGAATCAAACCAATCAATTCATGTTTTAACACTGTAATACAGTGACATACTTAGTAACATACCCAAGCTGAATTCCTTTATTTTACCATCTTTCTGTGAATTCTTGCCTTCATTCACAGAAAATAATGGAGTCTTGGCCATGTATAGTCCCGGATTCTTGCTTCCATTTTTGTATTCATCTTCTGTATAAACTTCTGGGCTGTGGCTATTTAAAGGAAATATTAATAACTTAATTGAAATGAAATGAATTGAGATTTAAAAATGAGCCTGACGATAGGAAATGAATAGCAATGTCTGACATTTAGAAATAGAGAAAACAGATAAAAATTGGGTTGGATGACTGATGATTTTGTTTTTTAGGTAATGTGTCACATGTATTGCATAAAGAGAAAAATAATCAAAACTTGCATTGCTTAATTTGAAATTTTGCATGCATGTACAGAAATGTCAAACTTTATACTAATTCCTCATATATGTGTGTGTCCAACTTTTTGCCCACTATGTATGAAAGCCTGTATATTCAATCTAGAGTGAATAATCTTACCATAGAACAGCCTTCTCTGGCCAGATCTCTGTTGCCCAACAATAGCGGTATTCATATACACCAAATGGCCCCATTATTGGGGCTGGCATATGTTCCTGAAACACATAACATTTAGCAGTGAAAAAAAAAGTTCATTGAGTTACTAACATATTTCATATTGATATTACAGGGTGTCCAAAAAAACAAATAAAGTAGACCCCACACATTTAGTTATGAAATGTGCAAAATGTGTACCTTTGGTGAATGGGCAGCTGGATCTGAAAGTTTGATGTTGAGCATTCCATTTAGATTGTCCAACTCTGAATTAGCATCATGATCATCTAAATTATCACTAGAGCCAATCAATTGATAGACAACATCACTGCCAGTAAATGCAGTTCCATCCAGATAAATAGAAATGTTGTGATTCTCACTGAAATAAAAGGTTTCAATATTAATATCGGGACTATTTATTGGGTACAGTATCAACAAGAGTTTCATTTTTCATCAATATTAACAAGAGGAATGATCCGGATAGGAAACGTTTTGGGTACCTTCTTAGAAATGTTTTGTGAATTAGAAAACACTGCATTTCTACTCTGTTTGTTTCTATTAAAAAATCTAATCATATAATAATAGGTTACCTTGTCAAGAAAGGTACACTCAGTTGAGCTCTCTGTATTAAAATGCTGGCTTTATTGTTGAGGTAAGGGTCAAGTGGTACATCTAGCATCATAGAGTGAATATTAAATTCATCTTCATCTTCTGAATCAGTGGACCCAAAATCAGAAATGGGAAATTCCCTTGTACTTTCTGTGATTATGTCACTGCTGCAGTATCCAGGTCTCAAGTAAGATTTGATTTTCTGCAACGAATAATGTAAAACATTATTTGAGTTTCAGTATATATATTATCTAAGAAAAAATTAACTTAAAGTAATTTTGTATAAATAATTGTCAACTATAACCAGACTACTTCACTTATTATCCTAAAGATTTTGCCTAGCTTTTATCAAGATGAAAAAAGCAACTGCGTAATCTCAAGTAAATTATACTATCGCATAACACAAATTCAAGTTTATAAGTTTGAAGGATAACTATGCATACCCAAAAATATGATGCACAGCTGGTACAAATACCACAATCAAGGCAACCTATGATCTCCCCAGTGCAGCCACAACGTTGGGTATACTCTTGTAATATGCCATCATATGGACAATCCATTCCTGCTATCATACAATGACCACACAATGTACAGATGGACCTGAAGCTAGGATTTCCATTGAAAACCTGCCAGTTGTGGTTGTAACATATAGAGTGATTATCTGAAAAACATTTAATACTCATAGCAACCATTTGTCTAAAATGTCAACAAATCAAAATCATGCATGGAATGTGAGTACCTGCATATTTTAGCTTTTACAAGTAATTAATTAAATACAATGTTCATGTTACTGACATCAGTCTTCCAGTTAAAAGAGGCGTTTACTAGGAACTTTCGGTCATAAGGAGATAAACATATTTCCCTGAGGATAAACCCTGTACACTGTATGTAACCTACCATATATTTTCAATTGCATTTTTCTCTTCTCACATTTTGAAAGTGTATACATAAACAAATTAGTTCACTTAGGGAGGAGTGAGAATGGCATATTTCTGTGGGTTTCAGCCCCTATAGATAGCTGAACAGATACAAAAAATTCATGGCACTCCCTCAATACAATAAATAGTCCTGCATGTTATCTAATGCTAGAATCTGAATAGTTATTTGAACACTCTGTTATATACTATTCAGGTACTCCCCATATCAGAAATGGGGTAGAGACATGAATCCATAATGAGGTATATAAAGAATTAGTATATCATATAAATCAGAATTATACTGTATAAAAACCTCTTTTTAATATATATATCTTTTATTGACTCTTAGAATGTCATGGTATGACATATTAGTCAGTACAAAAATAAAACCTCACTACACTACACTACATTATACTACACTACACTAGACTACACTACTATTATACAAATATAGTACAGTATATACAAAAACATGTTATTAACATGTATTGAACATATGAGATATACAGTAAAACCTACATATAATGAACACCTATGGAGCCACAAAAAGTATTCACTGTAGAAGGTGTTCACTACAGAAAGGGGATTTAATACAGGAGTCAATGTAAAAAGTGCCTTAAAGTGGTGTTCACTAAACAAAGGTGTTCACAGGAGGGAAGTGTTCAGTAAGACAGGTTTTACTGTATTGAAATAAAACATCTATTTTCTCATGACTTACGAGGCAATGTAGACGGCTGAGTGATCATAGCGACAAATGGACCATAGTGTGTTTGGATCACATGATCTATGACATCAGCATAGAGGTAGAATACACTGCAGACAAACTTGTAAACTTTCTCTGAGCCTGATACAAGGGCACTTTCCCTGTTGTAACTCACTGTGCTACTCTGTAGTGTCATTTTACTGCAGCCTGAGTAAGAAAAAACAATACTTGTACAATATGATAAAATACAAAAATTCACTTAAATACAATAAACTAAAACATGATAACTTATAAAGTAAAGTATTGAAATAAAAGGTAACAGCTCATTTATATAAAATAGCTGCTTTATTGCAATTTAAGTGACCATACAATATCCTTCTGTTCACCACTCCATAAGGGCCCCCATGAGGATAAATATCACTACAGTTAAACGAATAATCAAGAGCTTGATAAATGGCTTATTCGAAAATTAGTTTTTATGACTCAATCCATAAGGCTGTATTTTGATTAGTTGAAAGCTGAAACTACCAATTTAACAGGGATGAAATATTCAGAAGCAAAGCAATCATACCATCATTTGTGACAGTCTTTATCAGAACCTCAGCACCACCCTGGTGTATCAACATTCCCTCCTTGGCCAGGACAACAAACTTGGCAAACCTTGAGCAAACAGCAGCGATTTGTTGTATGAGACCTTGTGATATGTCACAATTGAAGTTATACACCTTGGTCACAATCTCCCTTGGGACCTCAGCATCCGGAGTTGCAGGCATCTAAAAGTAAAGAATTTTTTCTTAAAAGTTATGAGAGTTTTTTTAGGTTGTACCTGGTATTTACATTTAGGTGTCAGTTCAATGGTGACCATTGATGTGATCCCTTGCTGGGAGGAATATGTCCATTGGTTAGATAAAGTGATATTATGATTGCTTGATAACATTGGCCTGATTGAAGGTCCCTGCATGAAAGGAGTTCAAGATTAACATAAGATCAAACTTCCTGCCATCCCATTTATGAGAAAAATACATTTTGTCAACATGTAATGGCCCGAGAAGTGAAAACAAAAGTGTTGCTCTTACCAAAGGTGCTTCAGGTTTTTCAATACTGGGTACATGTACAAAGACATATTTCTCTTCATCAAGTTGTGTCCTCAGACATGGCAGACGAACCAGCAAACCTTGATGTTCCAGTAATGGTATCAATTTCTCTGACACCAACTGTACCTGAAATGAGAGGAATATGTTGAACATGCAGAAGTTAGCTACTTTTTCATGATCAAAAAGGGTTTGTCTCCCAGTGACTGAGGTGTCATTGTAGGACAAAGACTGAATAGATAACTTGCTTCAAATAAATGAACAGACTGTGAAAAAGGAGGACTTCTCAAGTAAGATTGAAGCATTCAAACCTCCCATAAAACGCTTATGAATCAATAATCTCTTAAAGTGCCCGATAAACTATAAAATGCGCATGCGTCCAGGTGTTGATAAACTATAAATAGCGAAAATCCAGGGTTTGTCACCACAAGGTAAGCCAGGACGTGTTGAGAGAACAGCTAGTGTTGATATTGAATTTACATGTAGCCAGATAAGTTTCCTTATTGAAATTACATATGGTTATTAGCAATACTTTGTAGGTGCTAAATAATAAAATATTTAGAGTATATATGAGAGAAATTGGTCATTTCGAACCTGTTGAAAAGTTTGTGGCTCTCGGCTACACCGGGGAATTTACTTCCATGAGTACACACATAAATGTGGGGTTCCCCAAGAAGTACGCGACAAGGTGACCTGGCATCAAATGTGCGACTAAATGCTACTATCGAGAAGATAAAATAACGAATACGACAATAAGTTATTGCATGTGACAATTCCGAGCCTTCATCTCACTGAAGTATTTTGAAGTGAAAATAGGATTTTTGTTTTGATACATGTACATGGATTCAGATGAACGTAACTTTATTCTGACAACTAATCAAAACTGAACAAAATTAATTGTACGTAACAGACAATTTAATGTTTTACAATGTTTTGATTGGCTAAACGAATGAAACCAACAAATTATGACATGTAAAATGACAATTTTGAAATGTAAAATTTAAAAGTGACAAACACAACCTCCCTATCCACTCTTTGGGAGCCCTAGTAAATTAGTAATATGTACATGCAGCAGTGGTAGTGTACAGCTTATTATCACACTACGCTTTGTATTCTAAAGCCTGTTGTTTGTAATAACACTGTTCACTCAACGTATGTTTTGTGTGTGGGCAGTCAACGATAATCATTGTTTTATCCCGGTTATATGACCTCGGCAATTATAACAGAACCGTACTAAACGAAAAAACGCAAATAAGAGAAAGCTTTCACACACATATAAAAAATGAACTAGTCTAATACGCCAGTATAAACTCTGTGCTATACGTAGCCGGGTCAGGCGCACACTTTAAGGTAATGGCATTTAATCAAATTGAAGTACAGTAAATGATTTTAAATGTAAAGTATTAAGACTCACAAACTCTTCTACTCCTTGATCCTTTGGATCATTTAATGTATCAATAGCCTTGACTAACTGCTCCACACTCCATACAGGAGTCCCAGGAGGTAAACAAGGAGTTTGCAGTCTCTTACTGGGGGTAGTACAACTATTTTCTGATGTGATCAATTTCAAGATCTTGCTGTACCAAGTGAAGTCTCTCAGAACCACAGGTTGTTCTAGGTTTCGAAAATACAAAACATCACCCTGAAATAGACAAACAAAAGGCCTGTAGAGAGAAGATTTGAAAAATTTTACTTTTTCTGAGCTGTCAGGGCACCATTTGGCTTAAAATCTTCTTTGACATACCTATTTTCTTAAAATGTATGGATAAACTATCAATTTCAGCATTAAGAAGTGTAAATTCAGTTCAAAGCTTCTATAAAGTGAGTCCCACTTATAGATTTTTAAGATCCACCATGGTTCAAGGGAAATATTAGCTGAAATAATGTTCATTCAGGGGGTTTCTTTGGAAATAATAAAAATATTTGATAGTCTTGATGAAATATCCAAAATTAAATATATTTTGACACTGGTCCATGATCGTTGAAATGTAAATCATCCTTTCAAAAACAAGTGTTTCATCTACACTCTGGGTTTATCTTTTGACCTAGGCTTCACAGAATATTAAGAACACGGTCAATCAAAATCCAGGTACCGTATCAAAATTTATTTACTTTTATGTTTCAAAAGTACCGGGCAGCTACTTTTGGGGTCTTTGAGATCTTACCAGCATCAAAACTGTATTTAAATTTCGATATAGAGCCCCTATGCAGCATTGCATTGTATTATACTATACATCTGTATTGTATTGTATTGCATTGCATTGTAAATTGTATTATATTATATACAACTGTATTGTTTTTCATTTAATTGTATTGTATTTCATCACTTACTTCATCATGTAACACTTGCAAAGTGTTGTCTAAAATGGGATACTTCTGCATACAGAAACTGGTAGCATCTTCTATTTCAATAGATAGTAGATTTGCAATATCCAAAAATTTTGCATTGCTTTCATCATCAATATCATCCATCATGTCTGAAGAATCCTCACCAGAGTAGAGGTGTCGAACTCCTGGAGATATGGCTTTTAACTGTGAGCCTAATGCAGCCAAGAGTAAATCTTGGTCCTGGAACAGATTGTGTGTAACGAGGCTGTCAGTTACATGCAAGGCTAGAACAAGATCAAAATGTCACCACGTGTCATTTGTTACAGATGTCATGTTACAGGCAAAGTACAACGACCACTGTACACCAAGAACCATCCACAAAAAAGTCCAAAAAGAGACCAATTACAATATTGTATTATAATACAATCAAGTGGTGACATAATAATAATCGGGAAGAATCCTAGAAAGTATTTTGATCATTTGTTGCTTATTAAAATTCTTTCACAAAAATCTCTCACCTTATACAAATGTGTATATATTGGCCTATCAACTGGGTTTTCCATCTTCATGCTGTTACACAGTTGCTTAGCAACTGCCTCAAGTAGATACAGCATACCCAGCTGTTTCTCATCTTGTAAAGTCATGTGCATTTTGGATTTTAACCTTAAAATGAAATAAAACCTCGAGATAAAGGCCAATCATTTTATAATATACTATAATTGAAGCATGGGCAAAAATCCATTGCATTATCACTGCGCTAGAATCAACTGGTGATGAATATTTGTAACAACTCCGAGTCAGAATCGTATTACTGTTTGTGTTTGTCTAAATAGATGGGTCTGCAGGATATGTGCACCCTGAACAGTACAATAGTTGGGAAAAGGGGCCAACAATTACTTTTGAAAAAATAATTCAACAATACCCTTCAGCTCCAAATGTTGCTTGTTCCTGTAGTTCCCCTACACAGTCCTGTACTATTGTGTCTAGTTGGTCAATACTGGCTGTTGCACTTGTGCCAATGACAAGGAACCTACATCCAGTGTAGTGGGAACCATCTGATTTGGAATACCCATGCTAAAATACAGTAAAATGTACATGTATATACTACCCATCCTCTCAAAAATGTTCGTTATTAGATCATTTTAAAATATTTTAAAAATAAAATACCATATTTTTTTCCTAATGAACAGTATCAGTTAGTTTACATTTGTGAAAAATACCTTGCTTATGAAAAAGAGCACAGTTTGCATGATGTGTCTTTTTGAGATCATGGAGTCCTGGGTTAAGTCGACAGGAATCACTACGAGACTCACAATCCTTGGTAACACATTGTCAAATCCATCCTGCAATAGATTAATAAAACATAAATTCTTTATGTTGTAAAATGAGTGGCATATGTAGATGTACACTACATGCAGTTTTGTAATTCTCATTGTTAAATCAGTGCTGTCATATGGAGAGAGAATCTTATTTTGCCTCTCCTAAGGTCAAAGGTTATTACAATTTTTAGTTACCATAGTAAAATTAAGAATAGAAAAATTAACAAGTTATCAACTTTGGTGCAAGAAAATCTTCATCTTATACGTATGCATGTGCTACTCTGCAACACGCTGTTGTTTCAATTACTTTTGATTTAAATCAAATGACATAAAATAACATTTGTGTATTTGATGTAGTACTTCACGATACCTTAAATGGGTTGAAGATCATAAACTTCCATTGCTTATCGTTAATCTCTCTTTTACCAGTTTGAAAGAGGTGAGACCTTTCCCCAACCTCATCTGGTACGTTAGTATTATCACACAAAGCTTTCATCACTTCTGTCACTTGTGCACTTTCTGTCTCATTCTTAGGTACAACCACAATTGGAAACGTAAATTCCTCGTCTGAAAAAAATATCATGATAAACACACATGTACCTACTGCATTTTAAAATCAAAACTTTATCAAACTTTATCAAACCAGGGTACAAGCATGGTGAATGAAAAGGTTAAACATTAAATGAACCCAAATGCTCAAAATACAGTTTTTAAAATCTTTATAGAGCTTCTTTGAAAAAAATTTAATGCCTTGTTTGGGTCAAAAATAAGGCTTATTATTTGTATTATTATAATTATATTTTTAGGCCAAAATCTTTTCTTAAATCTTTTCCTTAAAAAGTTCACTGATATCATATTTGAATCAAAGTACTTTGTACCTGAGTCTATTTGCTGAACTTTAATTTTCTCATTAATCGTAGCCCTCCCTTTAGGTTTAAATCTCTTTTCTCGTTCTGTTGCCGTATTAGCATATGTGATAGTTGTGAAGTTAAAGACGGACATTGTGGTTTCATCATGAGAGAACAATGCTGCGCTTTTCCCTGTGATGTTTGGGCAGGCATCAAGTCTGACCTGGAAAAAAACAAGTATACCATACATATACTTTGAAATATAAAAAATCGAAGTGGTATAATGAGGTTATATAATGGTTGATTCCATATATCGTGTTCATACTCAAGTGAGTAAATGATATTTTCATGAGTGACTGAAGGGAATGAGTGAATGTATCATATACTCACAAGAGTATAACGATATACAGAATCAACCACTATATGATCTTATTATATCACCCTAATCTTTAATCAATAAAAGGTTAATCTAAATTCAGCAGTTGCATATTAAGTCGAAGAGTTGTATACACTGCCCAGGAGTTGTATACGCTGCCCAGGAGTTGTATATCGTTCTCAAGAGTTTGTATACGATGAGTGTTGGTTTTATATTGCAGTTACACAATGCTATTATATAATCATATAAAGCACTTAGGTCGGGATAAGTATATTTATATCTAAATGATTAAACATACTGATATCTAAAGAAAAAACAATTATAATATAGACTTTATTTCAATGTATCACTTGATTTACATAGTATGTTTTACACAGTAAGTGAATAAAAGACTAAAATAAAATACTGTTATGAGAAACAAATGTTTGTTGTGTTGTCATATGGTCAAAAATAATTCATAACATTTTATTTACACTTAATGTCATTGAAGTGTCTATACATTTTATTTAAACATTCTTTCAGGAAAAAGAACACATTTCGATCAGGCCCTTTTAAATGCAAACTTTCATAGGCACATCTTGCTAAAAATGAGTAAAAGGGTCATCTCAACCTTCATTAGGTAAATGTGCTGGATACCATGTTATCTTACTTTAATAATGTCATCTTTGTCCCTCCCCTCCTGCATTAGCCTATGTAGCCAATATATACCATCATCTGTGATGTTTGGGCAGTTCATTATTAACACAGTCTCTAGCTTGAATCGCTCCTAGAAGATACGAGGAAGAAAAAGAACAATATTAGCCAATAATTAAACAAGTTTGAATCAATCAAAAGTGATAAGGTATATGATAACAGCCATGTAAGTCTACATCAAAATCATGATTTTTTATATTATTTTTGATATGTTTGTTGATTTTTCTGGGCCCACCATGTACATGTATATCTTAATTCTCTGTAATTAAAATTCGTAAATATTTGATGAAACAAAAGAATAAACAAAGAAACAAACCTTCATTTGGTAGAACTTGTAGAGACAAAGGTCTGTGAGATAGGGGTTTGTCACAAAATGAAGGTGAGAGACAATGTCTGGATTAGCAACTTTCTTCTTAACTCCTTCATCATCATATTCCTCTTCCTCGTCATCATCACCTTCATATTCGCTATCCAGCTCTCTCTTACGCTCATCGAACTCTTTCTTCGCTTCTTTTTTCTAAGGTGGCACAAGAATTCAAAAATAATAGAGGCAATGATTTTCTTAATATGGTCAAATGAAGGCTCTAGGTGACATTGCGTTTAAGAGTTCCATTTCTTTGTCAGGAAAAAGGGAAAATGAATATACAGTATTTATAAGCTTGCATTTGGATATTGATTTGCTTTGAACATGCAGCATACAAGTAGTTGTCTGAAACTGTTCAGATGTTTTAACTGTTATACGGACATTGTCCTACAAGGTACAGACTTTCTGGAAGTGCAAATGGGGAAACAGTACATAAAAGAGCGATTCACTCTTACTGAATAAAAGAGAGATTACATGGAGTGGTGAATTAAGCTACAGTACATGTACCTGTGTGTTATTGGGAGCAACCTCTCCGAGACCTATTCTTTGTATAACATCCTAAAATGTACAAAAAGAAAAAGGGGTGTTCTAAAGGAAAATACTTATTACTTTAAATTGGACATATAAAGGAGCTAAAGCATACAAAATGTGGCTTTTTGGATTTTGGATGTTAAAATTGCCAATTTCTTAAAAAATCCCAAGAATTTAGATAGACAGATGCTCACAAAATCCCATAGCCTCAGCACCTAGCCTCACAAATAAATATACAATTTTCTTTATTCAAATTTCTTTAAATCTCATAGTTTGTACATCTACTTCACATACAGGCTGGCTAAAGTGAACATGAAATGGTGGGTCGGGGAATTTACAAAAATGTACTGAATTATCAGTCACCAATACTTAAGAATGTATATAAAAGTGTCTATTTTATTTGAAACATTTATAAAAACCGAATCCAAAGAAAAAAACAAGTGAGTGATAGCTATAGCTCACCATGTGAGCTGACAATACAGCAACTTTGACACTTATCGAGATTACTGAGCAATGTAGAAATAATAGACAGCAGTGCAACATAAGAAAAAGTTCAAAGCTTCAAGCTACAGGGGTCAGATGAATTTTTAGCCATAGGATTTGGAAATGAACATTGTAATTGATCCAGATTCTTCATTCAATTTTGAAAGCTATGTTATTAAATATTTTGTTTGAAAGCTTGTTTGAAAGTTTATTCACTAATGGTCTATATCCAAAAGAAAATAAATAGAACCAGCTTATATTTTTATTCTGAAACCATAGAGATGGTGTGATTTTCAAGAAATTTCGGAAAAAAAATCGCAAGTTCCCACCATCCTAACTCAGCCACTTTACCCCGATCACCTCGATTTTGGCACCAATAATGATCTATTATCTGTAGCTAATAGGTACAGTTATAAAAAAATAGTTTTTTTTGGTAGAGAAGTACCGGAAAAAATCCAGAGGGGGGTCATCCGATCCCCCCCTGTAGACATTAGGGTTAAACTATGAAAAAATTTTAGGAGCATATTTTAACATGTTCTATTACAACTTGTTTAGGGATATACTCACCTCCCAGCCATCTAAGGCGTAACATCCATTCTCTCTGAGTCGTATTCTTGATGCAAAGTCATTGGGATACAATGAGTCATCCAGGATGATACCATCTAAAACAGGTACACGTAATTAAACAAGGCATTAACATGTCACCACTTAGTTGAAGCAAGATAAAAAAGACCTTTTTGACCTTGAGGAGGTCATTAAAGGTCAAATCTATTTTGACCTTCAGAATGTCATTGAAGGCCAAATCTATAGTGAGATTTGAAATGTTGAGAACTTGTAGATGATTTTGAAAAAAAATTGGTCAATTTGCATGTGCTAAATACGTGCCCATTAACTATGCGGTGATGTCAGAGAAAATGACCACATAGAAAGTCATCCGTATTTTGACAACGAATTCTGACTGGCTCAGTGAGATAAACTGAAAGAGTGAAGATCTCTTCTAAGAAGTGAAGTTGAATGAATGCAAAGGGTGTCTTTTTTCTAAAAAGCAATAACAAAATTTCAAAGTTGTTTTCTTGAAATTAACTAAGGTTACTAATCTATCCAGTGAGCAAAAATGAAAAAGATTCTGCTGATCATGGGAATCAAAATATTATCTAATGAAATAATTATGTAATATACTGTTACATTTAAGCATAAAATTACAATATTGAATACACTATCATTAATTAATTCTTCGGCTTTCCAGGGAGGCCAGGGAGTATAACGTATTCTCTCTAATAAATTCACAGTGGGTCTCCCAAATTCTCCTGTAGGAACAGTAAGAGCTGTCTCAAATGACAAAATTCCCAGGGATTTTTCTTAAGGTAAATATATGGACTTAGATTTCATAATTACAATAGTATTATTTTGTAACTACATGTACCTCTCTTGTAGAGTAGCCAGTCTGCTTCATAACTCTTGACATCAACAGAGTCCAACAATTCCCTGTCTTTTTCTAACTCTGTTTCTGAAATTAACATAGTACATGTATATGCCAAATTAAGGTGTACCTTACTTAAGTGGACATATTCAATGGTATTGATAGTCAAGTTAAAAGGGATATGTCCCCAATATTTGGAGATATCTAACAAAATGAACAATGCTCCCAATTTTAGGGTATTGGAGCATTGCTGTGGACCCCATTTCTCAAACATGAAAATCAAGGTTTTCTCAAGTTTCAGTTTTACCTAAAAATCCGAATTGATCATTTACATGCATACAAGGCCAGGTGACATTATGGACCAGCTACGATTGCTAGATGAAAAGATTCCTTCAAACATAACATAGTACTATGCATGACTGACGAAACAGCCCTTAGCTAGTCCTGCATGAAGAAAATTTGAACATACCTGCTTCATTTGACGCAGTTGGGGCATTTGGTGCAAAGGGAAGCTTAAGAGCAGCCCTTATGGCTTGATTGAATACATCACTAACATTGTGACCTGTTAAAGCTGAGCATTCCATGTAGCCATAAGCACCAGTCAGATTTACACACAATTCAAAGTCCTTTTTTGAAATAAATGGTTTGGGAGATTCACCATCTTCTACTTTTTTGTCCCTCGCGTCACAACATGTTCCAACAATTAGAATCGGGACACCATGGCAATGGTGTCGTAGTTCAGGAATCCATTTATCTTTGATGCTATTCAACCCTTCCAAACTCTGCACAGATGTGGTTACTACGAAGACATCTGTATTAGGATAGGATAGGGGGCGCAACCTGTCATAGTCCTCTTGTCCAGCGGTGTCCCATAATCCTAAGCTGATCTAAGCAAACAAAATATTTCTTATATCATTATATTATTATATCAGATATTATATCAGATAAAACTTGCTGTTATGCATAGTCCAGGTTAAAACATGGGCTTTCAATTACAGTTGAAAGCCCATGGTTAAAATAACAATTCATGTGGATCTATTACATTGACTTGGCTGCTTATAACATTTTAGACTTCAAATCAAGAACTTACATTGTTACCAGCAACTATTACATTAGCACTGTAGTTGTCAAATACTGTAGGAATATAATCAGTGGGGAATGCATTGGTCGTGTAGGTTATTAACAGCGCTGTTTTCCCAGATGAATGATCTCCAACCACCACTAGTTTTATATTCTTTTGTGGCATTTTACCCTTTGATGCCCTGGCAGTTTGTTTTGTCCTTGCCATGTTTAGATCAGAATTCCTCCTTCGCTGAAATCAATGGTACGAAAGAGATGACATATGGCTCTTTTGAAACATTTGTAATTTGTTGATTTTGGGTATTTAGATCTACATGTACTGAAATATGCTTGGAGATTAATAAATTCCATATAATTTCATTTCATCCTAGTGATATATCTTCATAGTTCTGCAAAAGTTGCAATAATGCAGTCCTGAAATTCCATGTTTAATGTTCTTTCATGTTCAGAAGATTTTATGGTAGATTACTTAAGTAGACTGTTTATAAATATTATAGATCTATTTTCTAAAAAGTAGGTCACTGGATCTTCTTAATTAGCATACATTGCAGAAAATGATTAATACATGTAGTCAACTGTTACTCAAATTAATACTCAAATGCAGGAACATTTATGTACTTTTTGCAAAACGGAAAGATGTAGACAATGTATGAAATCAGGTTTGTGTGCCTGCAATTAAGATTGAAACCTGGGCATAGAAGCCAATAAGATTTCTGAACACTGTTATGAAACATTTTGATTTACTCCTGATATGAAAGAAAAACATCAAATTTTCATTGAATAAGGATTCCATTTCCAGGGGTTATATGATGTGGATTTACATGTACTTCTTGCAAAGGCTGTCTGCTGGTTTATTTACTGTACATATTCATGTACATCTAGCAGGTCAATCAACCTTTAAAAGAGGTAAATGTGGATCACAAGTCAAATCAGGGGTAAAACAAAAGGTTCCTTCAGAATAAGTCTACCTAAATTGTGATGAAGATAATAATGTAAAGTTACGCACAAAGCCACTTTCAGAGAGATGGCTTTGGATATCTTGATATTCCCCACAGGAAGTTGTATTAAGTCCTTTTTGGGCTCGACGGAGCCTTTTGCCCTTTCCCACTCTCAGAACAGATGTAATACAGATGTTATACATCTGTCCTGAGAGTGGGGAAGGGCAAAAAGCTCTGTTAGGCCCAAAAAGGACTTGATACAACTTCCTGTGATATTCCCAGTGCTTACTCACTTCGAGAGCCATGTTATTTAGACCTTTAAAGGTCTTCGACACAAATTACAGTTACACTTACATGTACATGTTAGCCTAAAGAAGGCCCTTTATCATGTATATTACTCTACCGAGCTGTTTGAAAGCCCGTGGTAGGCCTAAGCCCTAGGGCTAGACTATATCCTATTTAGTCTTCTAGTCAGTCTGTTGGATACATACTAGCCTAAGCCTTACAATGATGGCTATGTGCAAATATACTAACCTAAGCTCTATGAATTCTGAAAACAAACTTGCATTTGCTGAATTCTGGACAAAAATATTTGATTTTACACAATCTATAGACGACTGCATGTTTTATAAATCTCCATTGCTCAATTGGATTGTAACCGACGCATGTTTTTGGTGCTGGGCAGTCTAAATGATCTATTTATTCCTGTGTAAACTTTTCATGTGTTTACTGGAGCGACGGTGTCCCAAAACTTTTGCTTATCAGTAACTCTTGACCTTGAGCTAAGCCTACATTTACCGAGATTTATTAACGTTTGGTCATTTTATCTATTATCAAATTTTATTTGTTTATTAAACGATGTACAACTAGTCTTTATTACACGGTGAATCCAAAAACAATCAAATATTCACTCATGTTTTAACCCGGGCGTTTTAAAAGATCAAAGGATAGATTTGATACACCAACACGGAAGTTGTAAGACGTATTTATTCCCGGTTATTTATTTGGACATATTTCTCCCTTTTATCAACATGATTTAGCCCTTGGAAATGGATCAGTAATTCAGTGAAAGTTTGGTATCTTTCTTGATATATTTTGATATGAATACATAAGTTCATATATCATGGGAAAGTTGCATGAAATATGAACGTTGGCCAGAAGTCAGAAACACCGGAAGTAAACAAAATGAGAATGGCAAGTCATGTTTCATATACTCTAGTCTATTTGATTGCTATTTTAGATATTCTGTATACGTATATTTTACTTAACATTTGACACACAACGTTTGGTGGTTAGAGTCAAGCCAGCATTTTCGAGTTTCAAACTGGCCTGAACTGTAAAATTTCTAGATTCCCTCAATTCCTGTTCATACAGTTCGGGACATAAATAAATGACAGGTGGATTTGCTGAAGTGAGAATTTCCCATGTTAAAAATAAGAGAATTTTCAAGAGGCCATACATCAGTGGATGAGATTATACAGAATGTGAAATATACAAATTTTAAGGGATATGTATCTAGACAATATTGGAAATTATGGACTTTCAGACGACCATAATTAGGAAATGGTGATCGAAAATCCACCTGTCATTTATTTTTGTCCCCAACTGTACATGATAATATCATATTATATGTACATGTATATATTCATGACCATTGCCACACCTTCTATAAACTGTGAACAAAGTAATATTTCACCAGATATGTATCCGCCACTGCACCTGGTATTTATTCGCAGACACTGGACCTGGTATTACGTGTAATCTGAGACTAACAGAAATAGATAATAATATTAATTTATATTATAAATATATATTATAATATTATAGATATTCATGTTAGTCTCAGGTGTAATGTATGATGTCATAATGGCAAGCCCAAGTAATGGCGGGCCATCATGATAATTCGAAAAATGTGATAAAGCGATCATGATGGACCTGAAATACCTCTGGTACATGTATCTTCCAGTAAAATTGCGAAGCTGCATCCCCTTTTTTGAATGTCTAACCAGCCTGCTGCATACCAAGGCATATATATCTATACTTGTACATTTTAACCTTATCGTACTGAAGTAGCGGAGAATGTGCAGCAACTTCAGATAGTGATATAATATATAAAAGTACATTTACATGTTCAAGGGGATTGATTGTTGTTTCTTTAGAGAGGAAATGGAAGACAACAACGTGTTAATGATTCATGTAGTGTGTGGGTAGTGTGAGGGTAAAAGGTCAATGTTTCTCATACAAAAGCTTTGAATGAGGGTCTCACCACAAACATGGCTGACACTCCTGAAATTACAAGAGGCCACAGCTGCACATAAACTAATTATCTTTATTTGTATATGAATTTGCAGATGGATGCCAAGAATTTGTTAAAGAAATTTCATGAACTTCAGGAGGAGAGGGTGGAAGCCTACAGACTATTTGAAGAGTATGTATGATTAGTTCAACAAACTCGAACTCTGTTTCTAATATTGTTATGTCTAACCTGCCAACAAGACAGTACAATAATAGGTCCATCACATTAAGATTTACATTTAGATTACACTTCTTGGTTTAAGCACCTTGGTAAAGGTAGATCCGTAGAAATGTAGATATGTAGCTAGAAATTATAATCATGAATATTAGTCAAATATTTGAGTAAATTGTCCAAAATATTATCACAACTCACCTCTGGTCCTTAAAGATTACTTCATTTAATACACTTATTATCTATCTTATGGAAGTACTATGTTTTTCTAACAAATTGAAAATTTAATTTGATTACACTTGTTCTTTTACAGGGGTTTCCAAGCCTACATAAAATGTGCTCCAAATTATAATTTTCCAATGTACAGACAGTTGGTTCATGAAATCACTCAAGGATTCAAAAAGATATCTGAGGAGATTGTCAAAATACAGCAAGATTTTGTGGAACTACAGTCAATGCCAAATGTGGCTACATTCATTGAAAAAATACAAGAGGATGAAAAACAAAAACTAGAGTTGGTGAGTTCACTCAGTAAAATTGGCATGTCAAATCAATCCTTACCTTGCTTGCTTTTATAAAGATGAATAGTTATATGCTAAGAGTGATATGCTTACAGAAGGAACATTATTGGTAAGATGCTAAGAAATCAATCATTGATCAGTAAGATGCTATAAGATCAATTATTGATCAGTAAGATGCTGTAAGATCAATTATTAATCAGTAAGATGCTAAAAAGATCAATCATTGATCAGTAAGATGCAAGAAGATCACTTAATGATCAGTAAGATGCTTAAAGATCACTCTTTGATCAGTAAGATGCTAAAGGATCAAACACTGATCAGTTAGATTCTAAAAGATCAGTCATTGATCAGTTAGATGCTAAAAGATCAAACACATGAGAAAAATAAATACATTTAAATATTCCAGACAGTGAAGCTTCAATTAGCAACACAGAACAGCATAGACCACTCAGATACTCAGTCATACAAAGAGGAATGTGAAGATCTCAAGCAAAGGTAAATAATAATATATCTGGAATAATACATATTGGTTTTATTTTGACATTCCCAATAATGCTATTTAACCAGGCTTTATTTTCCCAGGTTACCCTGTATTTCTGTTTCTTAGGAGATGATGAAATGACAATATAGAGCACATGTGCTTCATTAAAGTTTTAAAATATTAAAAAAATTACAAAAACGATCTTTGTTTGCTTTCATTAAAAATTGTTGTTTGTAAGATAAGTTTACATGTGACAATGACCAATCTATTTGTTTTTTTGTCCATCCATCAATACTCTCCAGCCATGAATGATTGCTAGTATACCTGGCATCCATCTGAACTCAATGCTCATATCCATATATGGGTCCATAATGGTAATTTACACCATTGATCCCAGTTTGAAATTTTGCCTCGTTTTGGGTAAATAATTTTTTTTCAGAATATCACAGTTTTGACAATACACGAGTCTGTATCATTTAAAGTGTTCCAAAATCAGATAATATAATGTTACAACTTACAATTGATATTGAGAAGCGTGTGTCAGTGTGTCAGATTTCTCTTGACATTCCATACATTTTGCAAAAAGACGTTTTCTTAAAGTTTGCTATCCTTCATGTATACCAAATTGTTAGTCCATTTGTGAATAAAAGAATCATAAGTAATTTTTACACTTTTGCTGAGAATAATCTTGAACTTAAAAGCAAAGATCTACAGTTTATTATACTCATTCACACCTGTTTAGAGGTCTTTAATTTTCCCTGTGATCTTTCTTTGTTTCAGTATGAAGGAAACAATAGAACAAATAAACGAGCACATAGAAGAACTGAAGTATGAAACTGAAGATCTGTTTTCTCAAGACACATAGGAAAATGAAAGAATATTCAGAGACATATAAAATATCTCTGGAATATTTGCCTACAGTATACAGGGACAAAAATAATAGAATTTATTTTTAAATAATATTTTGGTTTTATTACACTCTATGCAATGAAATTGAACTTTTTTCAATTGAGATGTGAACAATTTTGAGACAGGCATTGACAACATTCTTGTAATGAGGATATACAAACTGGGAAAGTGCAGAATAAAAGAACAGACAGTGCTTGTGATAAAATGAAAATGGAACAATAAAAAATACAGTGTAGTAGACTATACAAAAATACAATTATTTTGTACATCAATTTTTGGCTTATACTGTACATTGAAAAGACAAAGCTCCCTTTTAGAAGCGAAGTCCATTGAATGCAAATTGTATGAAGGTTGGCAATCACTAGAGAAAACGCCAGTGCTATAATTTTCAAGAGATGATGAAGCATTGTCCTGAAATTCATTTTCATTTATGTCGTCTAGACCCTATACTGGGAATTTTAACTACTGTATGTGAATGTCATATTTTACTTTGTGGACTCTAAAATTGCAAAAATACTTATATATTGACCTTTAACCTTCATCAAGATGGCATCTGGCTCTTAATATGACATAAAACTAACCCATAGCCTATTTTGGGACGCTTGAATTGCAAATGGGTATGAAATAATGTATATTAGGGAGTTTAAGCTTGCATATAAAATCGAAACGCCAACCTATACTCAAATACGTATGACCAATCGCCCATACAAATTGCTTAAATATTTTCCGTTCACGTTTAGGTTGTGAAAAACATTGCAAGCTTAAACTCCCTTTTGACCTTCATTACAGCGACATCTAATGTGACATTGACCAACAATGAAGGGGGACCTTAATAATATGGTTCTTCATGATTTAGCGGACTCGTAATATTTGCACATAGACATTCCATGATAGCATTGCCCTTGGCGATGAGTTAAACCTGGACTTTGACGGGGGGGGGGGGTGGGGTTAAACTCTTCCCACACTCGCTCGAACTGGTAAAAACGTCCGACAAAATAGGGTCCAGTTTTGAAAAGGGACATTATTTTGAAAAATCTTGACCGAATTTTTCAAGTTCTTAAGCCAGGGTGGGTGCATAGGGGGAGGGGTCATAATCGTATGCAACTGCCACACATTCGAAACACAATATGTTAACAAAGTTAAAACAAACAGATTGTTTGAGATCACGAATCTCAAACGATTTATTTGTTTTAAACACATTTAAAACAATTCCATGTTGATGTTAATTGTTCTGGTGTCCTTTCAAAACGTAAAGTATTAGTAATTGTATGACGTGGATTTACGACTCAAATTTATAATATGACGTCATGATTTAATTCACAAGTTCTGAGGATACAATACGCGATTTGTTAACGTTTCCTTGGAGACATAAAGCCTTGTTTTCATTTGAATAAAACAAGACAACTGTTTGTTTTGACGATCGTGGAAAATCATCTGGAACCTAAAATCACGGACCTGAAGATAAAATCGACATTATCCTTGATATAATGAATACTGAAAAAGAAAAGGAAGAGCCCAGTTTTAAACGACAGAGGTTAGAGGCGAATTCGGACGACGAAAGCGAATTTGATGCCCCTGTACGGACGACAAAAAACGAATCTGGAATACATGTACATGAAGGCGTAGAACATGTCCAACTTATTTCAAATGGACTTGAAGATGCTTCTTATGATATTAAAAAAACTGACACAAATTCTGCTAGTTTTAGAGCAAATCAGTCTATTAAACCATCCAGGAGAGTTCAAGTTGATAGTTCCAAAATCATGCCAAAGCCAATGCCACCGCCTCAAGCTGTATTACTAAAGAAAGATACTCCAAAGTTGACTTTGAATAATACACAAACAGTCCATTCTGTATCAAATATTAAAGAATTGTTCCCACAATTTAAAGGTTCAGCGAATAGACGAGTGTTTGTTGTAAAACCAATCACCTCGGGTGGTAACAGGAACCCAATCTTGAATAGCAAAGAAGAAACAAAGAATAGAAGTATTGTTTTAAAGACCGTGTCTACATCGGTGCCAAACGCATTTTCTGTGAAGACCCCGATAGTATTTACGAACGCACTGACAACGTTACCCAGTGTTGTTGCCCATACTGCGGGCATTCCTACCGGACCATTCGCATTGATATCAAAAGACCGCTATACATGTGCATTTCCCAATTCTTCAGATTTCCCTACTCACATACCCGACGCGTCTTCAATACAATGTGGACTTCAAAATACGTTCAACATGACGAGCTTCCTCCCCATAAAAGATGTAGATGATATTAAAGTGATAACTAACACACTACATGTAACTGAGATGAACAAAAACGAGAGAGATAAACAAAAATGGGTCAATGATAAATCTCGGGAAAACAAGGACATTGCAGAAACTAATATAATTGTAAACGTTTTGTTAGAACAATGGGAAAGATACCTGTCAATGCCGATGGAAGATATGAAAAAGATAGCATTGCAACAGGCGCGATCACTCAAATACACCGATACTTTCATTGAGCTCATTGAAGAAACTATGGACGATATCGAAATTTTATCCAAACAATATTGTCTCTATGATATCTCGGTAGATGATATTAATATTCATGTATTCGATACCTTTGTGGAAGATCGTGGGAATACTATAGCTACTGACGTCAACAAACAAGAAGTTTCCAGTAAAAAATCAATATAATTTTACTCAGATTCAGTAGTGTGCATTAGATCCCAATTGAGTTTTTGATGGGATGTATATTCACAGTATTTAGGTAATAAAGAATGTCGTGCTCGTTAGAAAACCATTGATTGTTCGTTATGCAAATGTTCACTTGGAAAAGGATCCCATGACCACAAACGTTTGGATTAATATAATTGCATTTATGTCTTCGATGAAGTCTCAATTCAAACTGGCTGCATCGTCAGAATTGACGTAGGGAGAGGCTTCTTTATTTACATGTTTATGTGTGAAAAGTGCTAAAGTGTACTAAGTACACGCAAGTGTAACGAAGTTATGGCAAATAAGTTATCTTCATTAGAATACTGATTTCTCAGTCGACGCATTTGACGGGTGGTATTCCCCAACCGCGTATCCTTTTAATGGTCGTCATCATGTTGATCATAGCCGTAGCCAGCGGGGGTTTTGTGGGTTCGAACGAACCCCCGGTCAGGATTTCCAAAAATATCATTTTGCGAAATATGCATATAACCAGAAACATTAAATCACTTTGCTATTTGAAAACTACATATATGAGCAGTAAATGAATAGATATAATTTTGTTATGGTGAACACGAGAGCCTCATTTCGCTAAAAACATGTCAAAGTGAAGTTACACTTCCCTCAAAATGTTTGGCAACCTTAGGCACGGGGTGAGATTTAATTTTGGGAAGACCCCAGAGCATGAGATTTTACATTTAGAAATAACAATAATTTCGCACAATTAACTTAAAAGCTGCTTCTTCTCGGACAAAATAACCCATCTTGGGTAATGGCTAAATCAGTCCTTTGTAGGAATTTTGTTTTAAGCCAATTCTGGTCCAATACGAAGTTATTGAAAAATTCAGACGTCCCATACTCCGATGATGAACATTGCCGAATAAATATCTGGAATAGTCGTAATATTGATGAAACACATGTTCTTTCAAATGTGTACATCTTTGTTTTGTTTTATTTCAATAAAATTTAAAATATTTCTTGGGACGTCCCTGAGGCTGGCAAGTCCCCGCGTTAAATAATTCAAAACGCTGTGAAACACCCTATGCAGACAGAGCCTGTGGGAAATATTGGGTGCGGCGCAAATGAGCGGAGGGTGCGGAGCTAACGGTCATTTTTGAATTTAAAATTGGGATATTTCTGAAACTAAGCCGTTTTGGGACTTCAAATATACCAAGATATGTGTATTTGACACCAAATATCAATAAAATTGTGAAAATAGTAGTGCAATTCATTTTATAGCGACGCAGTATGCCTTAAACATTTCCCAGACCTATATATTTTGAGACTATCCTTTTAATACTGCGTCCCCAGCATTCATAAAAAATGGTGTTCAAGATACACTACCCATGCAAATTATTTTTGCATCTTGGAAGCCAGGCAGTATCTGTGTGATTTTATAAAAATTCGGAAATGTTCTTCAGATATGAGCCCCTCTAAATATTGGGTGCGGAGCTACGTTTATGGAGCTGCTCCGCACCCAATATTTAGAGGGGCTCATATCTGAAGAACATTTCCGAATTTTTATAAAATCACACAGATCCTGCCTGGCTTCCAAGATGCAAAAATAATTTGTATAGATAGTGCACCTTGAACACCATTTTTTATGAATGCTGGGGACTCAGTATTAAAAGGATAATTTCAAAATATATAGGTCTGGGAAAAGTTTAAGGCACACTGCGTCGCTATAGAATGAATTGCGCTACTATTTTCACAATTGTATTGATATTTGGTGTCAAATACACATATCTTGGTATATTTGAAGTCCCAAAACGGCTTAGTTTCAGAAATATCCCAAATTTAAATTCAAAAATAACCGTTAGCTCCGCACCCTCCGCTCATTTGCTCCGCACCCAATATTTCCCACAGGCTCTGTCTGCATAGGGTGTGAAATGAATTATTTAAAAGCGTATATCGTATATTGTTCAATTTATTCATTCTTTCATTTGTTCATTTTATTTATTTACCCATCACTTTTCCAAAGAAAAATCAATCATTGCAAAAAATGATTTTTTTCCAGATACACTCCACTCATCTAAGAGATTCTATAGAATTCAATTTTTTATCGTTCCAGTTTACTTGCTCTCCATTTTCATGTTAAAGAGAGAATCAGAGCAGTCTAAACAAAAAATTGTTTCAATTTTAGAATATTTCTGGCTCATGTCGTTCCTTTTCATGTCTATTTTCTAAAAATCACAAAAGTGCATACTTTATTCCAGGAAAACTAAAGATTTTTACAAAAATGTACTATTTTTCTATAAAAACGGTTATCATTCTTATTATTTGGGAGAATTTAAACATTTTTGCACTTTGAATCAATAATAACTTCACCAATTTATTCAAAACGCTGTGAAATGAATTATTTGTGAATCTTTTGGGAGATATTGTATTTGATATTGTAAGGAATGGATTGGTAATTATACATGTTGCTTGTAATTTTGTTACCCCAGATTTAAGCAATACAACTATCCTGAATAGTTTAAAAAGCCTTCGTGTAAACGTTGTGAAAAGTTATCGTAGAAGAACGATCTTTCGGAGTATAGGGTGTTTGCGCCAATTTCAATTACCTTGCATTTGATCCGAACTGGCTTCCAACAAAATTCCTGAAAAATAGTCATAAGCCATTGCATAAGGTGATTTATTTTGTCCTAGTTGTTTGACTTTTTTTGCACGTTGCCTGTTTATTTTACTTTGTGAACATTAAAGTTACAAAGCTACAAGGTCATTTTTGAAAATCATTTTTACGTCCTTTGTTATTTCAATGGGAGAGGTTTCTTGATAAAGCCTATTACCTTCAGACTTTGCTTAACGTAAATAAAGACATCATTTTTGTTAAATAAAATTCAATTGTCTACTTAACTTAATGAAGGTATTAAAATGAATTATATTTCCCCTTCCAAAATAGTTTTTTCTTTACAAATAAGATTTCAAACTTAAAGGTGCTTTAATACATAAGCCAATGGGTTAATTAGGATTGCCAAACTTTTGGAGGGAGTGTAATTGTACAAATTGCATTTTTTAAGGAACCCTAATGAAGGGGGGGGGATTTGTGAATAACATAAAAATAGAACCCCCGGTCACCAAATCCTGGCTACGCCACTGTTGATCAATTCAATTCGAAATTCATATTTTCTCATGTACCGTACATAGTATGCATATTAACATATGGAGGGTGTCAATTAAGTACTCTATCCCTCTGATTTACTTTCAAAAGCATCCTTTGCAATTTCACTTACTCTTTAAAAATAATTCAGTTCTTGGGAGAGTATGGTTTCATGCCTGTTAGTGTACCTCAATGAGTGCACCATTCCGCATCTCCTAGAATAAAGTTAATGTCGTATTTCAACATGAATAACATTTGATTTTAGGACATTGGGGGTATCGTGTTTTTGTCTGAAAGAAAAACGTAACAACGCTATTTATAGTAATAATTAATTATATATCTACATGACGTGTAGTTTGATATACAGTGTATAATATGAGGTTATACGCAAATACGTATCAAGTCGAAGAGTTGCATACGCTATCCAGGAGTTGTATATTGTTCTCAAGAGTTAAATACGATGAGTGTTGGTTTTATATTGCAGTTATATAATCACCCTATGCAGACAGAGCCTGTGGGAAATATTGGGTGCGGAGCAAATGAGCGGAGGGTGCGGAGCTAACGGTTATTTTTGAATTTAAATTTGGGATATTTCTGAAACTAAGCCGTTTTGGGACTTCAAATATACCAAGATATGTGTATTTGACACCAAATATCAATACAATTGTGAAAATAGTAGCGCAAATCATTCTATAGCGACGCAGTGTGCCTTAAACCTTTCCCAGACCTATATATTTTGAAATTGTCCTTTTAATACTGAGTCCCCAGCATTCATAAAAAATGGTGTTCAAGGTGCACTATCTATACAAATTATTTTTGCATCTTGGAAGCCAGGCAGTATCTGTGTGATTTTATAAAAATTCGGAAATGTTCTTCAGATATGAGCCCCTCTAAATATTGGGTGCGGAGCAGCTCCATAAACGTAGCTCCGCACCCAATATTTAGAGGGGCTCATATCTGAAGAACATTTCCGAATTTTTATAAAATCACACAGATACTGCCTGGCTTCCAAGATGCAAAAATAATTTGCATGGGTAGTGTATCTTGAACACCATTTTTTATGAATGCTGGGGACGCAGTATTAAAAGGATAGTCTCAAAATATATAGGTCTGGGAAATGTTTAAGGCATACTGCGTCGCTATAAAATGAATTGCACTACTATTTTCACAATTTTATTGATATTTGGTGTCAAATACACATATCTTGGTATATTTGAAGTCCCAAAACGGCTTAGTTTCAGAAATATCCCAATTTTAAATTCAAAAATGACCGTTAGCTCCGCACCCTCCGCTCATTTGCGCCGCACCCAATATTTCCCACAGGCTCTGTCTGCATAGGGTGATAATGCTATTATACAATCATAGCACTTATATAGGGTGGGATAATAAATATATATATAATATGCCTAACATTTACCACGTATCCAACATATTTTGTAATCATCCGATCCTATTTTCAGGCACAATTTCATTCATAATACACAAGGCGACACAAGGTCATGAACATTCATTTTATATTAGATAAATGAGTTGTATGGTAACTGAACTGCACCGGAGAACGGAGGTATATGAAAGCATCCTTCCACGTCAAACAGTCAAAAGGAAGGAACTGGCTCGAAGCTAGAGCCTAATGACCAGAAAATATTGTCTGAGAAAATAAGGTTTCAAAGTCGAAAGTTTTTAAGCAGCTTAGTGCCAATTAGATAGAATGAAAGATGAACGTGTCTATTCCCAGTCAGACCCACACATTCTCACTACCTAAGTCGAGATTATCTCCCCGCTAATAAAAAATAGATTGGGATTTGCCGTCGAAGATCATGATAAATGTAATTAAATCTAGAAGTTATTCATGACACACCAGTTTCTTTCTCTCGACGAATGATCGAGTGAATAGTTGTTAAAAAGCCAGGATCTGATTTGTATGACTGATACGTCATTTTTACGTTTCGCTTTTTCCGGACTTGGCAGTTCTGATAAGATCGGCTACTTCCGGAGATATATCAACCGCATCTCGATAAGTTAAGTAAGTTCGAATTCCGTGCGTCATCCATCGAAGTTTAATTGATTCTTCGTAGTCCTAAGATATGATTTGAATCATTTTAAGCTGATGTTTATGTTTATGATGTTTTATTCTAGCCTATTTCAATGTATATTTGTGTTACTGTAACAACCAATTTATTGTCAATCAGCGACATAATATGCGGCCAGCCACTCTTAAATTAAAGGTGCAACAATTAGAGCAGGGTGGGGGGGGGCATTCAACGATCATCGACCAGTGTCAAAATATATTTAAGTTTGGATATTTCATCAAGACTAACAAATATTTTCATTATCTACAAAGAAACCCCCTGGTTGAACATTATTTCAGCTGATATTCCTCTTGAAACGTGGTGAATCTTAAAAATCTATGAGTGGGACTCCCTTTATAGAAGCTTTGAACTGAATTTACACTTCTTTATGCTGAAATTGATAGTTTATCCATACATTTTAAGAAAATAGGTATGTCAAAGAAGATGTTAAGCCAAATATTGACCTGATAACTCAGAAAAAATAAAAAATTTCAAATGTTCTCTCTATAGTCCTTGTTGCCCCTTTAATAACTTCCCTTCATAATCGGTCAGCTCATCTCACATGACTTTGTAAGAACAACAGACTGCAAATTCTGGCGGGTATTAATGAAATAGCAATTGTATTTATTTTTACCTTATATACTGCCAAAGAAGCCGTCTACTATATTACCTTACGGAGTCCTCGCTGTTATCTTCTTGTGGGGCGCCCCGGACGTAACGATTGTCGATGTCGATATATATGTAGAGTACTTCATGTATTGTAATGTTGATAGTTACTTTTAATTCTAATTAGTTCTAACTAGGTTTCATCTGTGGTCCTAATTATCTTATTTCTAATCATCTCATTTCTAGTTGTCTCATTTCTACCCAGCTCATCTCATCTCTGCATTTTGCCTGTTTACTCTCAATGCAACTTTTCTCAACTGAACTTATGTGCACTTTGTTTCTGTGTTTTTGACCTCTATTGATTAGCCTTACTAATTATAAGCCTATTTGAATTCATAAAAACATTTTGATTAACTATTCACAACAACTTACACAATTTTATATCACATATACCCACTAGTATTTTTTATATATTAATTGTTGGTTGTACAAAAATGAATTAACCAAAGCAGACCAACAAACAAAACATGGCGATAGACAGGATTCCGGATAATAAAGATGATTACAAAAATGACATTTTAGTTATTAACCATTTCAATATACCAACTAACATTAAAATAAAAAAATTGTTAACACTGAAAATACATTAGAACAAGAAATCATTGTTCTAGAAGTGATACTAGAGAGCTTTCGATAAGTTTTCAGCCAAAACTATACTGCACCTTTTACTTTTAAATGACGTAAACACCACTGGGGAGGAAGGTTTCTCAAAGACCAGGAAGTACATTTCAGTAATCATATTTTGAAACCGGAACTCACGAACTACATACTTGCCAAATATGTTGTGATTTGAAGGATGTAAGCACCCTATCTTCGTTTCCAGAGTTCCTCCCCAGTGCTATACCTGACTTGTACAAGTACAAGTTTGCGTATACGTATTCCAAATAACTTATATCGAAATCTCTCTAGTAATGTTTTCTAGACCCCAAAATATCTAGGCTTTCAAAAAGTTTTCGTTAGGTTAAATTTGCATTAATCTCCATGTTCTTTAGGCTGCCTTTAACTCATGTTTAACTACTTCTTTATGATATTTTCCACTTTGATACATCTCTGGATGATATTAATAACAACTGGCTATCATGACCATGGGATATATATTGAATATATTGCTGATTAATTCTTGGATAATGTATCATGTGCTTCGATAATTTTCAACTTCTTAATAAAATATGTTTGCAACCAGCTCTCAAAGGGGATTATTTGATGTTTCATGCTCATAAAACAGAATACATTTTATTATGTCCATGTGATTTGTATCCTCCAACACACTGCTTGAATTAACGTTGCTGATAGTGATAAGTTGTTGATGGATACTTTGTTGGAAGCTTCGCCAGAAAGTGCCTTAGGGGTATAACCTTTTAAAGGACAGACAACGACAACATCAGACGAAATGCTGTTATTCTTGTGGTGAATTTAGGTTTTTCTGTCGAATATTTTGTATCCTCTAAACAGTAATATTTCAGCTATGTACCAGTACGATTCCAATGTCTATTTTGAGAAATGAAACTAATCCAATGTAATATGTAAATGATTGTTTTATAAATTCTTAATTATATCTAGTTTCTTAGTAAATTGAATGTGTTGAGCATGTGTTGGAGAATACAAATCATATGGACATAATAAAACGTGTTCTTATCATGAGTATGTAATATCAAGCAAATCCCCTTTGCCAAGAGCTGGTTTCAAACATTTAATTAATAATTTGGAAATTATAGGAGGACGTGATACATTTTATTTTATGTTGTCTGAGTTTGTCAAAAAATCATCGTTATAAAGCTGTTTTATAGAATTAATAAGCAATATATTCAGTATCGCATGGTCATGGATAGCCAGTTGTGTTAACATTAAAATAGTACACAATAAATGCCGTTGATATTAATACACATGGCACAGGCTTTGGTAGAATAACAGAATTTAATATATATTAAAATATATTTGAAAATATATTTTATATTTGAAAATATTAATCATCGTAAATGTGCCCTTATAAATATGGTAGACACCCTGTACGTGATAAAGAATTATACGTTGGTTAAACAGCATTAATAAGTGATTAGGCACCGTTGCCTCACAATAAGAAATTAATAAACGAGACTACACTTTTACGAGAACGATTCATCAATGTGACAACGATTATACTTTATAAATGGTCTTCTGATTTGAATATTTATAATTTGGACTTAGTATGCATCATTAGATCAATGAGTACAATATGCACCGGTATTTTAATACGCTGGTGAGTTATAGCTATACGCTCCCCAGCTTCTAAACCCAATTGTGTTTTGTTCCCAGTTAATCCCTAAAGTGATAATCACGTCTCCCGTTTCCAAAGTTCCAACCCATGCCATGCATTGAATCTACGTCGTTGCATTGGGGTGAATAATAGATGTTACTCCAAGGATCCAAGCAATCCAGAAAGGACCTGTTTGGCAAAAATTGCGAACTAAACTTCCAAACTCAGCATACCTATACGGCAAAACCCATCTATATTAATGTATATGAGTGCACCATTGATCCTACCGTAAACACTTACACGCAAACCAAATTATTATTGACAAAGGTACAAATATGGGGATTATCCCAATTTACTGTGCTTGTTTGATCAAGAATGTAATATTAGAAATGTATAAAATTATGTAAAATGATTGGAGAAAATAAATCGCAATAAAAAAATTAAAAAAAATATTGACAAACGTATTCCAAAAAGAGGGTACACTTTTGTGTCACCCTGTACGTTGTGAATTGTTTTTCTGTTTTAATGTAATGATTTGCTACGCCCCAGAATTGTCCTCCTTTTGAAAAGTCAAGGGTTGCCATTTCTGATCGATCAGAACGTCATGAAAGTCACAATTGGTAAGTTTAAATTCCAGTATCATATTAACTATAGGTTATGATGTTTAAATCAGAATTGGTAAGCTAAAAATCCAAATCATTTATTAAAGCAAGTTCCTCAGGCTTGTGACTGAGCATTGGTGGGTTTGACGTTTTAACCCATGGAAACGCTTCCTTTCCTAATCCCTGATTTATTTCATTTGGCCCTTGAACTCTATATTCAAGTCCATGAACACTTCAGTAGACCAACTTGTGTATTATTTTATAGTTTACATTTTTGATTTGTTTTCTATATTTATAGTTAGCATTTTTTATTTTGTGCATTTTTCATTATTCTTATCTATACAATCTATTCAGTATTTTTGATTGTTAAAAAATCTTATTTGTATTGACGGACACTAATGAATTGAGCTCAAGCAATTTCTTTGGTAAACATGTTCCGTGCGTTACATCTCGCACGCATACTCGCTGACCAGTATGATTTTCAATCAAGATCATGCCTCGCATGTTATCGCATCGTGTTATTTTTATGATGATAGTCATTGACTGATATTAATACTAGGACACCACACACCGTCATTGGCCGACATTCAATGTCGGATAAATAACGTCACTGGGGGAGGATATAATTGATGGAATAATTTTAAATATTCATCGGATTGCATCGGACCTCAGCTACCTTATTTAAAGCAATTCTGCAAGTCCTCGGCCATTAAGCTGTAAGATACCATCAAGAGGATCGCCAGGAAATATATAAAAATGCTATTAACTAAACCGTTATTTCTTTCAGTGACAATGGTAAAACGTCAACATTTGATAAACATAGTGTTTTACATGGTAGCAAACATGCTGGTGCAATCCAGTCTGGGACATTCTCATTGTGATAAGAGATGTGAAAATCAAGAAGTTTCTGCATTACGGTCAACCTGGCGAGACCTGGGGAGTCAAGGTAAATGAAACATTCACTATTCAATTTTATTTGAATTTATATTCCTAATATTGTTACATTGCAACTACGGGCTCGTGGTACTTTGGCATACAGGCAATACAATTGATTAAATGGCTGGTTTTACAAATGGTCGGACTCATATACATTATTAATAAAGACTGTATAGAACCAATCTAAATGAAAATATACATAGTACTATTTAACAAAAATCAGAACAATTTTCGTATGCTGATCTAGGATGAATTCGAATAAAATAAAGTACATCCTAGCTATCGTGGAAAACAGCAGATCAAATTTAAAATCTTTCACACTTTTGCAAAAAAAGTCAAATTGACAATCGGAGAAGTGTATGCAATTAAGTTTGCAATTAACGTCTCATACGGCTAGAGCATCGCCTTATTTCTTTTCAAAATACCTTGAGAAGTACCAGAGTTCCATCATTTATGCGCAAACATCTTCCTATTTCCCATTTTGGGAAGGACCGTTGTACATTTTAGAGAAGATGAGAAAGTATGAAGTTTTAGTACTCGGAACACAAGAAATGTGGACATTTTTGGCCCGCTTATATTAACACGCCTAACCATCGACAAGGTACAGTGACAAAATATACCGTAGTACACTTTTGATGTGCGATGTCACTATTTAACCGATTTGAAGCAAAGACAATGATGTAGGTTTGATATAGGTTTTAAAAAAAGAATCTGAGGAATGCATTAAGGATTTCATGTTTGATTTTTTGTGTATTCGTTTAGGAAGACACTTAACTTTCTAATAATGTTAAAAGATTTTCGAACAGTGCTCGATTATTTCGTTGTAAATCTACCCATATCATTGGTCGGTTGGAAAATGTTGTGTTTTTACACATTTACTTTGATAATTTCCTCCCCTGTCGTCTAAGAGTGTCGACGATTTTTATGAGAATATGTTTCTTTAAACAGCACAATATTAAGGTCTGTTGAAGATTTAATAAGCATTAACATTTTGGCTATAATTTAAAAAATCCTAAGTGTATGTTGTCAACTGAACTTACTAAATTCTCAGTTAACCCTAATGCAGACAACGTATTGTTCATAACACTAACAGACAGGGGGGTCGGATGCATTTAAAATTGAAACAGAACAATTATATAATTACTTCAATTTGATTGAACTATTGAAACTTTCCAGATATATCATAAACGGGATTTTAAAACTCATATCCAATAAGCTAGTATAGATGAGTAGATCTATCTTTCAATGTAACTAACAAAACGTAAAGTACAGACGCCAAATAATCAAACAGGCTGGAAGGAGACTCCGTGGCAGTACTAGTCTTCAACATATTCTATTCCGAGACACTGGATGGGAGTTTGGGCTGGAAGCTAACACCAAATGGGCACAAATTAACCACCGCCACTACTTTCATGAAATGAAAAAGCAAAAAGGATACTTGAAAATGTTCGTTAAAGATCACGTGTTACTCATAAAAACCTTAATGATTTTTGAAATGAAATCATTACATTGTTTAATATTACGCATATCTCATGAATTTCAATTACAGGAACAACGTACATTCGAGTTGACAACGCACATTTCTGATTTTTTTAAATTACAATAAATACTTGAATAGTTTTTAATCGCCACCCGTCCTTAATTGTGTAGTATAGAAAACATATTCTCATAAAAATAATCGACAGTCTTAGGCAACAGGGGAAAAAATGATCAAAGGAAATGTGAAAAACCCAACATTTTACAAGCGATCAATTTTCGTGGGTAGATTGACTACGAAAAACATCGAGCACTGTTAGAAAATCTTTTAACATTATTAGAAAGTTAAATGTCCGCCTAAACGGATGCACACGAAATTAAACATGAACTCTTTCAAGTATTCCCAAGATTAATTTTTTAAAACCTACATCACACCTGCAGCATTGTCTTTGCTTCAAATCGGTTAAATAGTGACATCGTACATCAAAAGTGTACTACGGTATATTTTGTCACTGTACCTTGTCGATGGTTAGGCGTGATTAATGTGGTTGAGAAACTGAGTTCTGAAATATTTTTGAGCTAACGCACCTATTCAGTACTCACCCTGTGACTGAAGGTCAGAACGTCAAATAACTAAAGAATGCAGCTATAATTTTCTAAACGGGCACAACGTACTAGCTGATTATTTTCATCTAAAACATATTTAAAGACGTTACAAATATTTTCCTTTGGTAAATGTGATTTTTCTGAGCTCAGTATCACCCTATGTTGACTGTGTTATACGAAAACAAGCGTTGTGGCTATCATATGTGCACTGTCACTAAACGGTCATTTTTAAATTTGAAATTTGAATTTGAAAATGGGAAACATTAATCGGAAATGTGCTACCTCTAAACAATCGGTGTAGCTATCTGTCTAGTGACGGATCTCTCTCAAAAACAATTTATATCGATATGTCATCTCGATCACCAATACTGAACGAAGGCTGTAAATGGTGTATTAAAGCGGCAATTTCAAATTATTTGCTTTGGAGAAAGAATAAATGCGTCCCTTTTATTAGTTATCCAAGATACAAATGGGTGAATATAATTGAGTACCCAACGCGTCTTAGTTTATGAACTGTCGCAAATTCAATTTCAAAAATGACCACACCGTGCGTACATGATATCCGCATTTTGTTTTCGTATATAGCACACTCCGTATATTGTGAGTATATATCTGATATCGTTTTTGGAATCACAGTACGGATATTTATAGGATATCCTATGATTTTGAGGAATACCATTTTTATATACGAGTTGATATTGATATCTGCACGAGAGAGCGAAGCGAACGAGTGCATATATCAATATCACCGAGTAGATGATATTCTGAAAAATCATAGGATGTTCTTATTAGTAGCGCACTAGATGATTATCATTGAAAATTATAGTTCAATTTGGCCGGAAATCAACAAGGGTAGTATATCATCGCGATATCCTCCACATTGGTTCGAGAAACGAACGGGTGCATTTATAGGATATTCTATGATTTTGAGGAATATGATTTTTATCTACAGGGTGATATTGATATCTGCACGAGAGAGCGAAGCGAACGAGTGCATATATCAATATCACCGAGTAGATGATATTCTGAAAAATCATAGGATATTCTTATTAGTAGTGCACTAAATGTATAGTGTTACGCGGTAAACACGATACAAAAATATGTCATATTCCGCAACGAATATGGCATATTCACTTGCGGTGTATGACAGATTCACCTGCGGTATATAGCATACACACTAACCAATGAGAACGTGATACGGAAGTACGTGATTGTCAATTGAATCGATTGAACGACCAAGTAAAACGCTGTAGATTATTATAATGATTACTGAATCAACAGTTCTGTGTATCGAATATATTAACTTAGCAGAATTATCAGTCACCAATCTCGCGTAATAAACTTACTCAATCAATCCAGGATTCATATATTAGTACTCGACGCACTAACTATATTGGTAATCCAGCGTAGTTTTACATTTAGAGTCGACTCTTGCAACCAATCAAATCAAGGCTTTTTGTATCACGTTTTCACCTGCGGTATATGTCATATTCACCTGCGGTGTATGGCATATTCCGCAAGTGAGTATGACATATTCCGCAGGTGAGTATCGGGTATTCACTGAAATCAATGTATCGCATATTCACTGCGGAATATCGCATACTCACCTGCGGAATATGCCATATACCGCAGGTGAGTATGGCATATTCACCCGTATCACAAATACCGCACAACCATGAATGTATGCCATATACCGCGTAACATATAGTATCATTGAAAATTATAGTTCACTTTGGCCGGAAATCAATAAGTGGAGTATATCATCGCGATATCCTCCACATTGGTTTCTTCCCGGAGTATAACGGTGGCGATATCCTCCGGTTATTCATTTTGCCAATAGTTATCAAACGAGCATGTAGGTTATCGAAAACAATTTCAAACGATTCTAATTTGAATTATGAATATTTTCTGATCATGAACATGAGTGTATCTTTTAGATCCATTCATTATCTTCAAGAAAAGTATATATATAATGATAATTTAGTGAATCAGACCTAAGTGATATTGAAGAGGCAATGGACCAATCAACATACTTTTTCAAAAATGTTGACCTAATTTTCACCAAATATGCAACCTTTTATTATATTGTTGAATGCATAATTAGAATGTGCTTTGAGCCATGTTCGATTTCCTAAAAGGAAAAGTTGATTGCTCCATGGACTTTAAACATACTGAATTTGGATGACCAAAATGAACTGAAACCAATGGATAGCATGATATTTTTCAATGGAGAAATAACATGGGGAACACTTATCTTAAAGCAATGAAGTGTTTCTTTCAAGAACTATTTGATACATCAAAATAGAATAGTAATGCATTAAACATTCTAAAAAATGATTGCATTTTTGGTGAAAATGGGGTCAACATCTTCGAAAACGCGTGTTGATTGCTAGTTAAATATCCCCGAGTTTGTTTGACTTCATTATTACTGTATATAATTTTCTTTGAGATAATGAATTGATCTTAAAGATAAACCTGTCTTCATTGTCAGAAAATAGTCATAATCGTGGCGATATACTTTGTATTTTATGTGATGAAAACAAGGTTGAAAATGAGACACGTTTTTTATTTCAATGAACTAGATATCATGATAAAAGATTAAAATTCTTTCAGAATCTTGACCTAAATAATTTAGAAGAAAGTGAAAAAATGAAACTTCTTTTCAATGAACACACCTGTAAGATAGTTAAATATATCAAAGAAGCATTTATTAAAAGAAGGGAATATATTTATAATCAATGACTTTCTCTTATATATACTTACAAAGCATTACTGCTGAAATTCGATTTTTATAATTTGTAAAAAGTGGTTGATAAGCCCAAGGTGGGCTGGGTAAATTATTATATTACACTGTATTACTGATATATATTGTATGTAAGACCGACCACTATAATATGAAATAAACTAAACTAAACTAAACTTTACTAAACTAAACTAAACTAACATAATCCAAGATATAACCTTCTGAAATTGTTTGCTATACCCTACGTGCTCCTTTATTTTCCAATGTTATGCATTTAGTAAACCAAGTTTAGGACAATCTCCTTTCGATCGTATGTTCGGCAAAAGGACCGAGGCGTTTACTCCTGCTTAACACCCTTGTTCATTTCCCATTCCACTACCATCCACTCCTACGTATACACGTTGGAGAAATAGATTATGGGGTGGATTGGAGTGGAAGCAAGAACTTGACGATGCAAGATTGACGTATACTTTTTTGGAATGACACCATGGCGTAGAATAATGGAAATATTACAACGCATGCGCGTAAATCGACATTTCATGGTCCAAAGATTTCAATGGAGAGCAGTCTTCATCAAAATTTAAAATCTTAATAATTTTTTAGCAAATCATTTATTTTCTTTGGATTCAACGGATCCTTGTTACACCCAACGAAGTGTTCGTTTTGATATATAAATCAGCAAAATCCATCCATAGATCTTTCGGCCTTTTAATGATTTAATTTTCGGAATATTTTGCTTAAATCCCCCATTGGCTGCCATTATAAACTTTGAAAAAACTCAAATCCTCATCATTTCATATCATTCGTTAAGTGATCTAAACAACTCCAATCTCGCTAAGGATTCAACGGATTCTAAGAGATCAAAGCTAATACAATATGTTGACAACCCCCGTTTCACCATTTGCCGCATAATCTTTCCATTATTCTATACGCCATGCAATAGTACAGGAAACTGTTCCAGGGTTTGAAAAATGTATATATTTTTTTAAACCACTCTTTTCCTTATTTTCTTCAAATTGATAAAGAATGTGTTCTATTTCAAAACGTTTTAAACAACTAATAGAAATGAGTGTATATCTTTAACTATATTTAAGCCAATTTCTATCCTTGACTGGAACGTAAATATCTAATTATAGCTTCCCTACCAGAACGTAAAGATCCTTTTTTACACATAAACGACGGAAACATAACATTGGAAGCGAATTAGTAGCACACTTAGATCTGTTTAACTTGACAGACACTCACTAATTGGTATTTCAATTAAATTACTCAATGCACCTTGACGTCACCTCAAGGGAGAAGATAAGCAGAGATACTGTTCCAACTGTAAGACTTATCTAAATGATTGATTTATAAACCCAACGAACGCATATTTTACCAGTCGACTTTCACCATTGTGAGTTGGCGTTAAAGTATTCTAATCCAACGTGAACGTAAATGGCATTTTGAAAATTTTTAATCTAACTAGCAATTATTACACATCCACTCGAAGTTTCGAACGAAACCTTAATCCATCCTCTTTTAACGAGATTTATGTTGGATTAAGGCAGTTCGAGACGTATCCTTTGATACACTTGGGTATCTCTCCCCGCAAGACGTGCACCACTCCCGCATAAGTAACCCCGACTCATCCATCACCTGTGAGCCTATTAGATAATTCTCATCATCTTTATCGTTATTATCCTGGATTATACACCAGTACTTACTTAGCAAGTAATTATAACGAGGGGGATATCGATACTTATTACGTTTAATTGACTTGTGGTCGTCATATTGACTCTCCAGATCGCTACTTATGTATTATTAAGGAAATCATAAAATACATCCGGATTTTTACGCTACCCTAGTTTCGTAGTGTCCTAGTACTTTGTATAGCTTTGTAATATCAACAAGGGGCGCCCTGTTTAACAATGACGTGTTCTCCATTTGTTTATAAACTGCCATTTTCTGAAATCACCTCCTCAAAGCATTTTTACCTTTTTTTACCTTTTTAGCCATAGACTACAACTCTCAAATCTGGGCTCATCGTTACAAATGCATCTAATGTTTTTTATCATCATGATTTAATTATTGAGTGTCGTGATCAATTTGTTTTTATCACTATTTGCAGATGTTCCATTTGAAATGTTCGTGCGCAATTTACTACATGAACTACAGCAATTCAAAGAACTTGAAATGGCAAGAACTGCTCTACTGGCATTAATAGAAGAGTATAATGACTGTATGAGGACTTGTGAAGTTCCGCACAGTAAACGAAATATTATGTCATCACCGAAATCGTTAAAATTGGCCAAGGTTATTGAAATGATTGCAACCAACTACGAGAGAAAGGTTAAAGGTAAGACACATGACTTGCTTTAATGTCTGATTCTTTTCTTCATCATATATCTGTGGAAACAATAAACCGATGAGGTGTTGTTGTTTTGAGGTGTATTAATGATTTGATATTAATCTGATGATTAATATATTGTCATCCCCTGTCGCCTTGTCTACGTACACTGTCGCCCTTATTTCCCTCACGCGGCACTAACATGGCCTATTGCATAATCTTGTAAAACGGTTATTAAAAATTTATCATCAATATACATTTTCTTTTCAGAGCCACAGACGGTAGGCTTCAGCAAATGACATGCATCCATGTAGCTCCTTATATTGTATGATTCAAGGAGGAAAGTGAAACATGACAATGGCTCCTATCACTGCGGACAGGACACTGTTATTCACAATGATGCATCAAATAAACGAACAGCGTTATACGCTGAGATAGAGACTGCACTGGACATTGATATTAGAGGCGACTAGAGTAGTTCTATACGACACACATGATCTCAGGCGCATTCATAAGTAGATCCATGACATCGGTACCCTGTATTGACAATATTATACCATTATACAATTAATCAAAGCGTGGACACATTAATTATAATGAAAGTTATTAAAAAGGTTTCATCTTATCTTGTGGGGATGAGAAAGAGGGAATCTTCCTCAATAATCAATTAATAAGAATATGTTCTGGATCCTATGTAAATACCTAATAATAAATGGGGTATAAGACTATGTGCTTCGTCCGCTCTCTGTCCAAGTTACCAACCACCCTTGATCTACATTTCTATCAAAAATATTTTTGATCAAAATTATCCAATAACCCTAACATTTGCCGCCTTTTGCCCCATCAACAAAACTTCATTTGATAATGCCATAAATTGTAATTAGCTATGTTTCCAGACAGGACTACTTATCGCTTATAAACGTATTGCTTTTTTGAAAGATTTCTTAGCATAAGTGAACATAAGTGCCTACAACTTATGACATCATAAATATGGCCTATGTAGCTAAGAAAAGCAATATACTGCCTCACACAGGAAAGTTACAAATTCTACCACGTGATACATGCGATTGTGCCTCTGTCTGAATAAATCATTTCTAAGCCAATTTTTCTCACTATATTCAATTTTATATTTTATTTATCTTGCTTTAAGAACATAAGACCCCTAAAATGTTGCAATTTCAAGTGATTATTAATTGAATACCTTTTATCCAATATTCACGGAAGATGCGCTGAGTGTGCAAAAGACAATAAACACTTTATTAAAATGGTTATTCAGTATCAATTCTTGATTAAGGCAACGCTTAGAATCCCAATGGACTTTCTATATAAAACTATTTAATAGGATATGTTGGGAGTATATTAGTAGTATATTTCTTGTTTGTTGGATCAGAAATAAATGCACTTTAAATGCTGAAAATCATTTTATGGATAATGGATCCCAAAGGTTTTACTAAAAGGCGTACCGTCATTGGATTTAAAATTAATTCAAAATATAATCACAATCCGAGGTATGTTAATTACAATGTGTTCACCTTACCTCGGTAGGTGTCTGTTGGAAACTACAATGCTAAGAGTGTCAGGGAGCATTTCAAACTATCAATGAATTATATCAAACAATGATATACTATACTCTAGTATATGTATGGGTAGTTCCCGATTTCCCCTGAAATAATATACACTGCATCAAAAGTTCACATATATAGGGTTCCAAATATTTGGTTTTTCTTCTTAAAAGAGAGTTTCATCTCGGTTTACATATATTGAACACTAGGCTCTGGCTCTATGGGTACCTAGCTTTTGGAAAGTGTGGGATAAATTGTTTTTGGTTATGTTAGTACTTCTTTGATGTTCAAGTTTTAAGCCCTATGCACTAGTAACCTATATACAGGGTGAGCAAAAAAACGTCCATATTTCTTTATTTTGATAGAATGTTTTTGTAATGCATGGGGCGAAAAGTAAATGCGCCCAATTTTCTATTCTTGGACAGGAGGATTAACAAAGTATTAATCTGGGGTTCATTTTTGGAAGGTCGTAACATACGATTGGTCGCTAGTCCTGGTTCGTCAAAAAGTACACAATGGTTTTCTTGGAATCGTAAATAACGATCAAACCAAAAACGAACCCCTGAGTCCCGTGCCCTGAGTACTATGGAACATAAAAAACAGTTATATCGCTTGTGGGCCCAATCGAACACCTTGTTGATCTTCTCTACCACAAACAAGATTTCGGAATCGTTTTCCATGTATGGGCGGATTTTCTTAATCGCCCCTTTCTTAGTACTGGAGCAGTTTTTATTCATCTTACTACTTATTCGTCGTATGATACCACTGGCGGATCTGGGAGGGGGGGGGGGCCAAAAATAATTTTGAGCAAAAAAGGCCTTAAAGCCCCAAAAAAGGCGCCTTTTTGGTCATTATTTGGCCTTGTAAGGCCTTATTTTTGAATTTCAGGCCAAATTTTGAAGAAAATTTCAAAATTGGGGCCCACTTTTCGGTTTTAGGGGCCAAATATTTTTTTATGCGCAAGCGCGGAAGTTGTTTTTTACCTGAAATTTGGGCCCCCCCTTGTTTGTTTCCAGATCCGCCCCTGGATACTTTAACATTCCATTTTATGTGGAATTAATATTTCAGAATATGCCGAACACCCCACAACATACTTCCCCATCAAAAATATTTTTAAAATATATACATTATTCAAAACACATTGCCAAATAAACAAATGGAAGTTTTTGGTCACCCAGTAGATTAGATGTTTACGTAATCAACATGCTAAACTGCGTCTAACATGGTTTAGAGAAACGTTTTGCTCTGTTTGTCGAATATTAATGTACAAATAAATGCAGAATTGTATGGGAAATCCATACACAAAATAATAAAAAAAATTGTTTAAACTGATTTGCTTTTTGGTTATTTATTACTTCGGTGCATTGAACAAATTGTGTAATCATGCGTTCACCCCTTAAAGTGTCATGAAACTTACAGACTGAAAATATGGAAAACTCTTCTAAAATTAAAGATGCGAATGAAGTAATCCAATATTAAATATTTAATTTGTCATATTAGCAGCATATCAAATACGTTTGCTGAATAACCGTGTGACAGTTGAGAACTACCTAGGGGCTACTACTCCAACTAAATAGACTATGAGTGACTTAAGTCAATAAAGACGTGTCATAATCCACCGGTGCTCACTTACATTCCATATAGCAATCATCATTAATCCATTGTACACAGTAATGCTACTTGCTAGTTACTCAATAAGTTAAAAAACAGAAAATGTGAGAGGTATGTGGAGCTCCACGTGTCCAGGGCTACCCAAGTATTCCGACTCTTGCTAAAGTATTATTCTGACTTGACCCAAGTATTCTGGGTTTAGTCATTTTATTAAATAAACTCGATATGTTGTTGATTTAACTTAATTTAATTTTATGTTCCTTCAAGAGAGCTGGAGATGACTGTTGAAATTTTGTTAGCGGAACAGCACTTGAATGAGTCTCAGGTTGGTATTAAAATATAAAAATCAGTTCATCAATTCATAATCGAATTTAAACAAATTAAGGTTGTGAATGAGAGGAAACTTTTTGTTTTTTCATTTTTTATATAAACTACATGCTACCCGTTGATGAGTGGCAGATCCCGGGGTGTGCGACTAATGTACCATGCGACACTCCTGAGCAATGCAATATTTAGAGTATATCAATATATTTATTTAGGCTGTGTCTCAACTTCAGGAAAATGGCTCATTTCTGAAAAATGGGCCATTTGAAAATATCGGCCTCGATTTTAAAAATGGGTCCAAAGTTCCAAAATTGGGTCTAAATTTTCAAAAGGGCAATATTTTAGAGCCAATATTTTCCAAGAAAAAATAATTTTGGCAGCATCCTCTATTTTGAATTTTCAGATCTGATGAAATTATTGGAATTGAACTCGAAATGCTTTGGTTGTCAGAATAGTTGGCCAAGAGCGAGAACATTGAAACAGGCGCTTCCTCAAATTCTGACTGCTAAAAAGGATAAACTGTTTGACAAATCTCTAAAAATCTTAAAAATCATATGGTCAAAAAAAGTAATTACAATGTGTGATACAATGTTAAATATGACTTTAGAGTGTGGGCTTTTTGTACCCATACCAGGATGATGCAGGATCATGGTACGGTTCCAGAACACGAATTATTCTCACCCACCGGTCCTGAAACATGAATATCTTCGGCACGTGTTTGGTGTAGTGTAACGGTGGTCAGTAAGCTCACCTCCATCTTCCTCCAATAATCGAGAGTAATTATTCACTATGAGATCCACATAACAGTCTGTAAGCTTTAGATAGATAGACTGATTTGGAATTCAATAGAATGAGAGTAGTAGGAAGTTTACAATGATAGTATGATTGTCCAAGATACAATTGCTTTAACTAAATAATTTAACTTGATAAAAAATGTTTTTAAATACAAAAGAATCTGGAATCTAAATTTAGCCCCTGACATATTACATGAAGCAGGGTCGAGGCAATAGAGTCGAGTGCAATTCGGACACTTGACGCAAAATAGAGGCGAAGTGACGCAAAACTACCACTGATCATGACTGATCAGATATCACAATCTAACATAATTCGTAACAATTATGCAGTATGATAGGATGTTGGAGGGTATGAGGACTCGTGATGTAAACCACACAAATTCCAATTATATCTTCGTGACATTTGAACTGCCACCTCATGCTATGATATTTATGGAGTGCTTTCTTGTATATCATTAGGGGAGGCGTCAAAAAATCGATGTCTGTTTAGAAACTTAAATAATTAAGTTTGGGGGTGGGGGGGGGGTCAATACTGAAAAGCTTTACTGCCTTCAAAGATATAGTAAAGAGATGCTAACCATCATTCATGTGAAGCTGTTGCTGAATCCTACCAATTTCATCATATATTGGGAAAGTTTACTTTTTTTTCATTTCAATTCCTTTCCCTGATTTTAAAAAGTTTAAGAATTAAGATTTAGATTAAGATTGGAGGTCAGAAGTCAAACTTAATAAGATACGTTTTTAAACAGACATCAAATTTTTGATGCCCCCCCCCCCCATAGTACTATTCTGTAGAGTATAGATCTACTTGTACGAATAGGAGTTTCCCGCATAACAATTCCTTCTACAATGGCTTGGAATTGAACCTCTTTCATGTCAAGTTGTATTTGAAGTCATATAAGAGGTCGGGTTGGGAGGTTTTTCTTCAGAAATAATGGAAAATTTTAAAAATTGTTAATGGCAATTATTTTCCCATCCACAATTTATCACAAAAGTGTTCACACTAAAGGCTAATGTAATTATCTCCGAGTATGTGTTTAATGGTCTAAACAGAATGATGCAAATCTTGCAGCCCACTTTATTCAGAATAAGAAGCATGGGAAAACATACAAGACAAATTACCAAGGAGATTCTTCTGAATAGAATCAGGAATATGGGATACATGAAAATTAAATATAATGCTACTGTTATAGTTACCATTGGAAAAGTTCAATGCTCACAAATTCTTCA